TATGAGAGTTTGGTATCATTTATACGACATAGTTCCTTGATTTCCTCGGGTTTTATTGTTCCTGTTACAGGTTTTCTTCTTTTTATAAAAAGTTTTCTTCTCTGCTAGCCAATATATTCGGTACATGTTCAACGTTAGCCTAGTGCATCTCCTTTGAATCATTGATTTGTAAGCTAATGTTTTGTAGTAGACATCCCCCGGTATTTACTCCTTTATATGACATTGGGTGAGGGAATGAGAAGGAATATATAATATATAGGAATGTGAGGTTGCACTGTGAATTGTATTCAATTGTCCATTGGACAAATTGTTCATTGGAAAATCTCATATCGATAAACAATCGAGAAAGAAGGAAAAAGGCCCGGTCAGGTAGCAGCAGCTGGAAGACGATGCCAGGCACTTGAGGCTGGACACTGAGGCGGAATACATACCTGGGAAGAGAGTCTACTACAAGATTAAGAAGATCAAGTTTATAGTTATAACACTTTAATAGAGTCAATTTATTACAGTTGTAGAAATAAATCATTTTGTTATACAGGAGTGAAAAGTCATTTATTTATTTAGTTGTCCTATATGCCTCACGATTGAAGAATAACAAACCAGGTGAGTCAATTCATTCAAAGTGTATTTACTAAGTCCCACATTTCAAATATATATTCTTATTGTTTCTTCTTACTCAGTGTCACAGAAGGTATTAGATTCCCGAATTCCCAACAACAGTTAAACACCCTCAAAAAGTCTATATCTAGCACCGGGGTTTTATTTTAATAATCATGAGTGTAAATAACCTAGTTCCCCGATATAAAAGCGGAAGGCTATTCGCTATTCCCTCCAAAAAACAAATTATTCAACTATTAACTTTTAGTAGGTTATTTACAGTTTGCTTCTGAAACTATCTGGCATACTAAATTGAACCACTGTTCTTTGATATTTCTCCCTTTGTTCTCTAAATCCCCTTCCACAGTCTTCCATAATACTTCAATCATAGTCCTCTATTCTTATTCAATATTCATCAATATTTCATGTTTCTTCCATCAAACTGTTCATGAATTAAACTGTTCCTCACACATGTGGCGAGTTCCTGAGTTCTTTAACATTTTTATGTTGAATTTTTTGCCAGCCTTCTTCCTCGTAATGTGACTATTGTCCAACCATCTGGAGATCTCCATAGGTTTATATGAATCTTATTTTACAATTTCTGCAGTATAACTACACCCCTATTAATCCAAAGCTAGGCCTAGTTTTTTCCTAATCAACTTTTGTGGTAAATGGAACCTTCAGAAGCTGTTTAGTAGAAGTAAGTGCAATCTGAGACTAATAAATCATGGTTTCCCAGGACAACTGCGAGCTAGCACGTTAAAAAAGATGTTGGTTTTTACCTAATAATTTTATTCAATTATTTTTTACATCCCACTTTCATGACTTACTGAAGAATGTAACATGTAACTTGTCATGATGTTACACTTAACCTACAAAAGCTACTGCATGAATAATGATCCTTTCAGAAACCTTGCGTAGAATTACTCCTAAAGGCAGTAGCTAGTACATACTAGGTGCTACTCAATTGAATTATAAACATTATTAAAATGGAAATGATTGAAACATGGGCATAATAATCATCTCAGGGACATTGGAAAATATAATAAAATGAAAAATAGGAAAGTCTAGCTTCAAACTTACACACATAATCTTTTTTATAGATAATTTAAAACATAATCTACGATATAAAATTCTATCAATTCCAAATAGTCCTCTGAGGAAATTAAAGTAATGTCATATAAAAATGGTAATTCCAAGAAGTTTATCCAAAAATCATTTTCGGATTGTAAATACCTGTTTTTTTATGCAATATTTTGTAAAAAATAAGTTTCTGTGTTTTCAATGATAGACGTAGTCTATCTATTTTTAAAAACATACTAATTGACTAAAACTAATATAACAGAATAAACAACAATATAAACAAAACCGGTAAATCTTTGTTGGAATATTCTTAAATTGTTGACATTGATCAATGATTATTAAATTCTATTTTTTTTTTTCTTGCATTTGCATTTATAAATTCCATTTTGATGCATTGAATTAATTAAATAAATAATAAAATCATTATGAAAATTATTGAATATTTTAAAATAATATGATTTTGTTATGACCAATTAAATTTGTGCTGCTAAATTAATATATGTATGTAAAAATCAATGAAAGATAGATGCATATTTGTATTTCATTGAAAATATCCCAATAAATCTGTAATGATTGGGCGTTTATAGATAAACAACCATCTTAAATCAAATAATCTAGTTCTTATACTTTAACATTAAAAACATTTCATATCTTATTGAATTCAATTTATTTATTTTTTTTGTTCAAATTCATTTTTTTTAAAATAATAAAATCTTTTCTTGGAGTTTCATTCCATTACGTTGGGTTCAAACAGGTTCCTATAATTGTTAGTATGAATAGAAGCATCTTCTCCTGGCAACACAATGAAGACTGAAGATAATTTAAATGCTTATAAATGAAGAACACATTATAGTAACTATTTTTTTAGCAATATATATGTTTGATATTCTTACTATTTATTGGTTTATTTCCATCATGGTCAAAACTAATTTCTTATAAATTAATATACAAAATGGAGAACAAGTATTTTTAGCCATTGCATCAAATATCAGTAAAATTTAATTTGACCTTTTTAAAAATTTAAGCGGTTCAATTAAATATTTTTAACAAACATTAAATATTTAAAAAATAAAAATATGACAATAATTAATTAGTAAACTTATATAAATAAAATAAATTAAACTTTTTCAAAATCTCAAAACAATAGTCTGCAACATGTTTAGAACTCTCAACAATGTAAATAAAACTCTCAAATTATAGTATTTTTAAAAATTTATATCATCCATATTTTCATTAACATTGCAGAGCATTAAGCAAATAGCATTGTCAATATTACAATTTGACAATAAATTAACTAAATGGAGTACACAACTTTCAGTCCAGTAAAATACATAAAAAAGGTGTCATTTATCCAAATAAGTGTGCTTCATCACTACCACAGGCATAACAGAAAAGCTTGTCATTATTCTTTTAATTCCATGAAATTTGCAACAATTTGAAACCAAAATAAGTTCTGTTGGACCATTATTTTCAAAAACACAGGTCTTCAAAAAATAAAAAAAATTATCATCATCTCTTATTTTGTGAAGTACCATCAAAAATATTCTTTTCACAATACCTATAATGAAAGAAATTGAAATCAATTTAATTAATTTTAATTACAGCCCAAGAGAAAAAGTCCAGCGTTTCAATCTTAGGTTGTGTTTCCCCTAAATATGTCATACAACCACAAATCATGAAAAGCGGATTTTGGGGGGAGGTGAGAGAGATCAGTCCAAGTTGTACTTATTAAATTCTTATAAAAATAATAAATATAAGATGAAGATCGTTTTAACAGGACCCAAAGAGATGATTGTGCTCAAAATTTAAAAAATGTTCAAATAGAGAACTGGTGAACCACTTCCTGCTTTTTCACCCACTTAGATTAATTTTATATAATAATTAATTTTATATAATAATGAAAATATCTAATCCCTTAATTCTATTCCCAATCAATTTACCTGCTTCTTCAAAGTAACCTGTACTTAATGAAAAAATAAAGCAATGTTTGCATAAAATCAAAAAAGAGTAAAAATTTACAAATGAAGTTGGCAATTATAACTTACTTGTGAATTGTGTATTTTTTTATTAGCCCCATTTCATTACATTGTTAACGTTTCGGGCTATGTTTTTCCATCAATAGAACCTTTCTCACTATTGTCATAATCTTTTCTACAATTCAACGATTAATTATTAATTTTGTTTTCCTTATTTTGAATTACCATCATTTGGGAAGACTATATATTGTTACTTATGGTTTATGGTCCAGTAAAGGAGGGTGATGTCTGGAGGAAAAGAAAAAATAGGGAGCTCAGTTCTCTTTATACAGACATCGAGGTAGTCATGTATATTAAACTGGCCAGACTAAGGTGGGCAGGGCATGTGGCCAGAATGAGCACCCAAGAAAAGTTGAGATACCCAAGAAAATAATGATGGAGGAGCTGCACCTCGCAAGACGGGTAGGAAGGCCGAGGACGAGATGGTTGGACAACGTGACCTATGATGCGAGAACCCTACTTGGTGCATGGAGCTGGAGAGCTGCAGCAGAAGACAGAGCCAACTGGCGGAGGCTTTGGAGGATTCCCAGTCTCGGTAACGGGATGTTGTGCCACATATGATGATGATGATGTATACTACTATGTATACTGATGATGTATCACTGTTACTATAGTGATGATAGAAAAATATGTCTCAAAACATCGGCAATATATGAAATGTGCCAAATTAAAAAATATACAAGACACAAAATTCTATTCAATAGGTAACTTTGTAACTTTATAATTGGCCATATGCTTCATAATAAATTCATAAGGTTTAAAATCTATATTTAAAAATAAATTTCACAGATTACTTATTGAGAAAACGTTATCAATATAAACCTATATCTTAATTGAAGGGTCAAGTAGGATAAAGATGATAAGTGACATTTTTGAAAAAAATTATAATAGTTAATAAATAATAAATATTAATTAATAAATGATAATTCATTATTACTCTAGATAAAGTTATTAAGTGATTTATTTTTAATATTTCTTCCTTCTAGTCACATAAATTCACTAGTTGGCTCAGAACTTATAACCTTCATCAATTGACATTTTTCTCTTCATTAGAAAAGATATAAATTAAAATCTGAAGCTTTATCCACCATTTAAACAACTTTTAGAAATCAGGTATCAGTTTCTTCCAAAATTTGGCTGTTTCAAACTTTAAAATCTATTTTCTGTAAACCATAAATATGTCTACTAATGTTATCATGTACCCTTATTCACTTGGCCCTTCAAATAAGATTAAAATTCAATTCTAAAGGATTTAAATTATTAAAATATAAATGATTAACTTACCTTTTCTTGGTTTAATTCGAGGATATATTGTTGGCTTTGTCCCAATTCTGTATTTAATTCATCGAGTTCTTTTTTATTAGTTTCCAGTTCATAAAATAACATAGACTTTTCATTTTCATATTCTTCCTGAAAAAAATAATAAAGCAAAGTGTTTTTAAATTTATATTTAAAAACAAAACATACAAATTTAACACAATATAAAATATCTGATATTTTATTTTTTCTGTATCGTACAAATAAAGAAATTTAAATGATGAATATTATATAGATTAATATGAATATTCCACAATATTTTAGGAAAAACATAACTTGCTGTCCTTTTAATAAATTTCAAAGACTTATAGACACTTTTAAAAAATAGTTAACTTTTTAGCCATTCGATTAAGCCATGGGTAAAAGTTGGAAGTAGAAATTTAAATTCCAATTTAAAATTACATGCTTCATAACTATGTATTATAATTATATAAATAGCTGACAATCAGAATCTTCTAGATTGTTATGTTGCTATCAATTCTTTTTACGAGTAAGACCAGGAATGTTTTTATAACTTAGAAAGGAAAGATAAATGGCCTAATGTTTTCTAGAGTAAAGGAAAAACATTGACTAGCAAGAACTAATTTAATCTGAACTCCTGATGATTTATATCTAAGGTGATTTCTACCTTTTCTATTTGAATAATAATAATAAAACTTAAAAGATGAATTATAGTTGACTATAGAAAGGTTTATCTTAGACGGTAATCAACAAATTAGACATAAAATATATGTGATTATGTATGCTGATGTTTTGACCAAACCTTGAGGTCATACAAAGAAATTACATAAGATAGACACACAAATTGAGTTCATGTCAATACCAATACTGCCAATGCCAATATCACAAAATCACCAGCATAACCTTGGTTACTCTATGTCAAAACTTTAAACTTTTTTCGAGACAGATACTTTCTTAATGACATTCCAGTATTAAATTGAAATAATAATGGAAAGAGAATAGTCATTCAACTCCACTCGGTATAAGTATGTGAGTTTATCTTGATGATTTCAATAAGATCCTTGAATGAAATTTAAGCATTCTGTGCTCAAAGACCTATTTGAAAGACTGATTACCATAAAAAATGAATGTTTTTTCTTAGACCAATACATGACTTTTTTTTAAATGTAGGGCAGTTATTCAAACCAAGGCAACAATCAACCGTAAATCTTACCCAATGACAATAAGCAAATCTACTAGACCTAGCGAGGAGGAGCTTCCATGGAAGTTCCACTGACTACCTCCATATCTTCCAACCATGGGACGAGTCCATATGCTGCAATAAAAAATAAGACACAAGGTCTATTTTTTATGTAAATAGATTGATTTAAAATTTCCAAAATAAAAATTAATTTAACAAAAAATGTTTGAATGAAAATTATCCTAATGTTATCAAAGGAGCAAAGATTAAATGGAATTTTAAAAAAATCATCCAATAATCATAAAAAAAAAAATGTATCACTACAACCCATCAATGGTTTTGGGTTCAATACTTTGTTAGGATGTACTATTTCAAGGCCAACAGTTGTGCAGGGAGGTGATCGGGTCTCACGTTCAACCAACCATGTTATCCTCTTAATCAATTATTTAATTAAGAGTACCCACTCTATAGAGGTTGGATGTGCCCCAGGAGGGTCTTGGGAACCCAGGCTTGATCAACGGCTGATGAAATATAATAAATAATTACCTGTTATCAGTAGAACTAGAACCCGGGACCTTGAGCTCAGCGGCCCAGTGCCTAAATGATGAATTTACTCCAATTCAATAACCATACTTTCTTTATTTTAGGTAGATAAGAAAATGACCTGTACAATGTGAATATGACATTTATTAAAAATGTATAGAATTAACAACTTGCAGAGAGGCTTCCAAAAAGTACAACAATCCATGTAAGATATACCAAACAATATTTCCAAGTCAAAAACCTCCAAATTAGTAATATTTTTGAAACAAATATTTTTGTGAAAACTTTTAATTAAATTTATACTTTAACTTTTCACAACTTAATTTTGCATTCTTATATTAAAATTACATATAATTTTAACATTACAATAGAGGCAAATATCATGTTTAAATGAAGCATGACACTTTCTAAATCCTTCTTTTCTAATATTGGCCATGACTTTATACTTTTTGTACTTGAACCCTGATGGATTGAACCCTGAAAATGTGCTTACTGTAATTTTACCAAGTAACATATCAATATATATATTTTTTTCTAGCCTGTTCGTTCAAGTATGTTACAACTTTTAGGCCTTCCCTAATTACAGGAGCATGGTTCAACTGCCTACAGGAACCAGCCATTGTGGGAAGTAGAGCTGGGATTCGATTCAATGATCTTTACTTTACTAATATACTAGGCTAACCACTCTGCTATACTCCGGCCCCAACTTATCAATCATTGAAACATATCCATCATCAATTTAATTTAAATCTCAATTTGCTTTCTCTTTTCTTTTTTTTATCGATGGAAAGTCAACATTTGACTTTCTTCGGAAAAGTAAACTCTTATTTAACAGATTTCATAGTAATTTATAATTTCTGGTAAATACCTACTGAGAGCTAAGTAAAAAAGATCTGTTCTATGTTTGTACAGTCATTATAGTAGCCAAAAAGTTAAAAAGACAAATGTTGATGAAACTACAGTTGGGGAAACCTGAGGACCATTTGGAGGAGATCGATACTTCAAAGAACCTTAATAGTCGATCCTTACTGTTATGGAAAATGAAAACTGTGCTGTTTCTGTTATCCAAGTTTAAACATGTTTCTCTTTGTCTATATTATTGGTCTTCTCTTCAATATACATACTAATAGGCATCTCTTCATCTTCTCACAATCTTACTCAATAATACAATTAAATTATCAATGAAATGAAAATGCATCTATAGCAATATACAGGAAAAACTAATGTTTTCATAAAAAAAAAAAAAAAAAAAAAAAAAACATTAACTATTTAAACATTTTTTGACAAAAATATAGAATCTTGAAAAATACAAAAAATTATATGATTTTTAGATTTCTAATTGCATTTATTTTTTGGTTCGACAGCAAAGCAGTCGTCTTAAAGATATCAGATATCTTTTCTTAGTTAACATACAGAAAGCATAATATACTTACATGAAAATCAAGAGTGTATTGGTTGAATTTCTCTTAAATAAAAAAGAATATTTTTCAAAACTATTGATTTTTTGATACTAACCTTTTCTTTGTTTAACTGATAAATATGTTGTCTGCATTTAACCAATTCCCCTGTCACTTCACAGAGTTCGCATTTGCTAACATCCAGTGCATTTTTGTAACTTTCCTATGAAAAAAATGGTAAAGGTTTAAGTTCATACAGACATGAGTTCAACTAATAAATTAATCAAGCTTACATTTTCAATTTTTAAATTCTGGTTTTCTTCAATAAGATCTGAAAGATTTTCTTTTTGTTTGGTCGAAACATTTTGCCAATGATTAGTCTAAAACATTATTTAAAAAATAAAAATATAATCTAATGTTCACAATAGTTTTCAAAAAGTGAAATAAAAATAAAGGATCATAAAAGATAAATGAGACAACATATCCCAGGAAAAATGTAAATGAAATTGAGGAAAGAGAATTCCTCAGATTTAAACATGGATAGACCTTAATATTTATAAAATAAAATTTACTGATTTAGATTCAAAAAACATTTCAGATATGTGCATCAAACTATTTTTGAAATTGTTAGAAAAGTCAAACTAAATCTTCAGGCACTTCTAAATCTCCAGTTGATATGTCAAGTTAAATTGGCTTTATCTCACCTTCCAACAAAATACTTTCTCAGTATCAATCTTTTCTATGGGCAGTGGGCTGATAACCCACTTTAACCTTCAACTGCATTATCATGATATTGGCCAAGAAACTACATATAGTCCAACAAGAGGAGCTTTTAGCATCCCCAAAAATACGAATGAAAATGGATGAAGGCTCAAAAATTTTCTGCATCTAATGGTTTGATATTTGGTATCAAATTATTACCTGCAAAGAAAATTCATAATGCCTTCTGGAAATTATCAAAAGGATCTATCGCTAACCAAATTGACCACATTCTGATCAGCTCACATCATCGATCCAGCTTTATCAGGGTTGCAGTATTTAGGGGAGAATGTGTGAATTCAGATTATTTTTTAAGTGCTGCCAGGATACGTTCACAAATATCATCGACGAGAAACGCAGCTGGTCTGGTCTCACAAAAATTCAATGTCCTGAAGATGAAGAATGATGATCAGAGTGCAACATACCAGCAGCAACCAGAAATTAAGCTGATGGAAGAATAGAGAGGAAGAAGTAATACTCTGGATGACCACTGGGCTGGAATAGCAGAATCCTTAAAAAAGACAGTAGATGAAACACTTGGACCTCAACCAAAAAATGCTAGATTCCCATGGTTCAATGATGAATGTTTGACCGTCACAATCAGCAAGAATGAAACCTAAAGAAAAACAATCCAGTGTCACACAAGGTGATCCCAAGTGCATTACAGAAAGAGACAAAAAGACCATTCATAAAAGGAAGAAAAGAATATGGGAGAATAAAAGAATAGAGGAAATTGAGAATCACATCCTCACACTCCATGAAAGACGTATTTTCATCCAGAAAGTTATCAAAGGGAGATCTGTCTCTTTAAACCAAGGGTCACCTCATGCAAGGAAGCATATGGAAACCTACTGATAAAAAAACAAGAAATCCTGGAGAAATAGAGGGAATACTTCAAGAACACCCAATACAAAGATGAGGAAGTTTCGAGAACAGAAGACCTTCAAAATGACTTAGAGCCACCGGATGTAGAGGAAGTCGAAGCGGCCATCTTGAAGTTAAAAAATAACAAGGCACCGGGGGAAGGGATGGTATATAGGTGGAGCAGTATCAAGGTGAAGGACTTTCAAAGGCACTTTACAATCTCATACTTACACTGAGGTGAGAGAAAAGAATGCCTGAAGCTTGAATATGAGGTGTCATTTGTCCACTTCACAAGAAAGGTGACTAAATGGAGTGTGACAATTATTGAGGCATTGTACTTCTCCTTAAAAATGATCCTCGAGAAACCAAAAGAATACAAAATGATTACCCATCACCTTTTCCTGGATTTCAAATCTTTAACTGCATACAACAGTGTAACCCAACCAGAGCTCTGCCAGACATTGGAATAAATGAGCATTCTGAAAAAGTTGTTGTAAGGTTGATATGGTTCCCAAACAGTATGGTTCCCATAGGATCAGATCCATAACAATGAACTGTGGTGTGAGACAAGGAGACACTCTGGCATACCTCCTTTTTAATTTTGCATTGAAGGGAGTAGTGCGCCAATCAGACATCCAGACTCAAGCCACTCTGATTAATAGCTGTTGGGATACACAGACGATTTTGACATTGCTGCAATATCTTAACATGTCCTCAGAGAGGTGGTCGTCACTCTTGAAGAACAAACAAGAAAACTTGGATAGGCCATCGATGAATCCAAGACTAAGTATATGAAAACAGGAGGAGCAGGGACATGAGTTAGTGTGTTTGAAGTTAGTCCCTACAACTTTGAAACTTAGCAATGTTTAATATATCCGGATTCAGGGGATATATTAAACATTGCCAAAAGGCCTCCTTGTATCCTCAATCTGTTCACTACATGTTCCTCTTTCCACTCTTTCAGCTCAATATCTCAACCCATAAACTTGTAAACCCTTCTCACAGAACAGCTTCCTTCGAAAACTCCTTTATCATACATTGCACTTTGTTTTGGAATTCCTCACTCATCTCCAATCATAAAACCTCATCTTTAATTTCATTTAAGTAATAATTTATTTTCATATGCTTTCATTTATTGTATAGTTTGATTGCATAGTATAATAATTTTATAATTATTCAGTAGCCAGAGAAATGTTTCTGGCATTGTACATTTGTAGAATTCTTAGGGGACAAGGCATTCCAGAATAGAATTTACAATCCTTTATTCATTCAAAAATTATACATATGATCTTTGGAGAAAACAGTGTTTATAATTATTTGGAAAATGAAGGAAATAAACATAATCAATAATAAAAAAATTATAAGAAATTAAAAATAACTATAAACTCCTCCAATAAACTACCACCTTGCCATAGTTGGGGGAGTTCAGTACCCTCTGATTTCATGGGGAAGCTAAGGGTAGTTCATCAGTACCGAAACATGGCGGTATAGCCATCTCAATATGTAGAAATGACATTTCAGGGGTAGAAGGGATTCCAAGCCGCAGTGAAGGCAGCCCATCTAGGGAGTTGAATACTCCAAAATCGATGGGTTAGCACCTCATCATCAAGAAAACTACCAAAAATGCTTTCAGACCAAACATAATGACTAAAGCGCATGAAATCGATTTTACATATAGGAACATGGAACACACAAGAGTTAAATACAAAGAAAAGAGAAGTGGAAGAGGACATGAAAAAAAGTGACTTTTATTTCCATTTATTGTTTACTTTCTTACCCTTGGGTAATAGAGGATTCAGCAAGAGTTGAGCATGGACACTACCTCTCTCTGAATGCAGTTATAGATCAATGAAGTTCATTAACCATTTGCGGAAATAAATGATAATTTTTACTTGGTCGAACAAGAATGATATGAAGGGGCATTGTCGTGTTGTTAAATGGCTTGGCTCCTGTTGACCAAAGCATGGAATGTTGCACTCAAAATTCCACTGTGCCAATATCAGGAACAAGCTCTAAATGCAAAAAGACGCTAAAGTTTCACCAAAGACAAGGCATCACTTTTTTACCAAACTGATCTTGGCAGTGCAGCTTTATCTGGCCATACCCACTACTTATGTTTGCTAGGGTTTTTAAAAATATCTACTTTTTGTCACTTATAATAATTTTCTTCCAGAACTTCTCATCTTTCTGATTTTGAACCAAATTTTGCAAATATCAATTGACTGTTGGTCTTGCGTCTCTGCCAGGCATGTGGGTGGACCTCGGTCTTAAATTCTGTACAGCCAGGTTTTTAAGATGATTCTAGTTTTTTAATAAACTTTTTTGTTTGGGTTAATGTGGTTTGTTTATTAAAGTCTATTCTTTTATTTACTCAATATGGAAAAATGGAGTGCTGCATAACCAAACTAATAAAACAGGTAAGAATGAATCCTTGCTTTATGCAATTTCGATTTAAAAAATATTTTTGAGAGACGAATTGTCTAGAATAACCAGCATTTAAACAACTAACATATTAAGTAAATATATTTTCCATCTTTATGTAATATGAAATATGACCTCCAGTACTGAAGATCCAACAAAAGATAAAGATATTAAAGAGAACTATTTGAGGCAATTTGATTTGGAAAATTGAAATATAATCATAAAGATCTACTTAAGGAGAATACATTCCAACATGACTGACATGGTTTCTAATACTATCTAAACTCTTCACAGATACCTCTTCGCATCTTTCACTGATTTCTTTTTTAAGGCAAAACATTAAATTTTCCCAACATACAAGTTTTTTTTTAAGATCCTGAAAAAAGAAAAGAAAAATTGTTAGAACATTATAATATATACATGTTATAATATAAATATTTCTTTTATATTTTTTTAAATATTGAATAATTTTAGAATATTATAGGAACACAAAAATATTCACCACCAGTTCTTGAAATTGTTTGTTCACAGCAGCATTACCCATTTCTTCCGACAGTTGAATTTCATTAAGCTGTAAATGATATTGTTTATAAAGTTACTTATATTTTAAACACACTTATTCCAGTAAATTATATTTTACAAATATTTATTAGATTGGTATTTGAATTGTTGCTAAAATTAATAACAGTTTACAGGGTGTCCCGTAAGTAGAGAGAAGTTTTTATAGAAGTGATAGGAGACCTCAAGAAGTGCAAAAAAATTCATGTAAACAATGGGCCAATTCTCAGCAGAAAATAGAAATTTTTTTTAAAGTTAGCCATGCTTTTTGATGAATTGGAAACGGTTGTTGAAGAAATATTGAATTCAAGTAATTAACAATTATTTCAATGCAAATAAGATAAATGAAAATAGAGCTTGTCATTGTCGAAACATTTAAAGAGGACTTTTGAACTGCTAAACTTGGCTAAGTTCGATTTAAAAAAAGTCATAAATTATTGGCGATTTTTTTTTTTTTATCATTGTCTAACTGTACTACAGATACCCCACTTTTAGAAAAACTTCTTCATTTAATAAGCTTCTAGTCCATTTTAAATAAATTGAGGATTATTAGGCAAGTTCTTCAGATTTACCTCAAGTTGTATAAAGAAATTTTGTTATTTTTACATTGTTATACTACAATTAACTGTTGTAAAGCTTTTATTTATTGTTTTTCCATGATCCCAGATCTCTGTCAAAGGAGTTGATCCATATTTATAACTGAGAAATTTCATGTTTTTAGTCCTAAGATTTACGTTTTCATGAAAATATTTAAAGCAATCAGCAGGATTTTTTGTTTTGAACGTAAATTTTAGGACTAGAAACATTTAATTTGATACTTGTAAATACGAACCAATTCCTATGTCAGATATATGGAAGAAAAACACAGTTACATAAATACTTTACGTTAAAAATTATTATTATTATTATTTTTATTTATAAATTAAAAGTGTATTTAGGCAATTATATTTATTAAAATAAATCCCAGATCATGGAAAAACAATAAATAAAAGCTTTGCAACAGTTAATTGTAGTCATATTTCCTGAAAACATAAACACTATTAGGTGGCTGGATAGAAGTTGACATCACAATTACTTTACACAACTTGAGGTGAATCTCAAGAATTTGCGTATTAAACCTCAATTTAAATTATATGAACTTGAAGCTTATTAAACGAAGAAGTTTTTTCGAAAAGTGGGGTATCTGTAGTATAGCTGGATAATGATAAAAAAAAAATTGCCAATAATATATGATTTTTCTAAAAACAGAACTTAACCAAGCTTAGCTGCTCAAAAGTTCTCTTTAAATGGTTTTAAAAAATGTCAAATTTTATTTACATTTGAAGAAAATTTTATCTAGTTCACAATGAAATAATTGTTAATTGCATAAATTAAATATTTCTTCAGCTATCGCTTCGTATCCACCAAAAAAGATGACTTACTTAAAAAAACACTAAACTTGGATTTGTTATTTTTCTGCTGAGAATTGTCCCAGCACTCCTATAAAATTTTCCCTCTGCTTACAGAACATCCTGTAAATAAATAAATGTGTAAATAGATATGTAACTAATTATTTAATGAATGGTAATACAGGAAATAGGATAACCTGATCAGATTTTTCTCTTAATTCTTGGCTAATTTTTTCAAGTCCTCTCTGTTGAAAATTTATTTGAAACTTCATTTCATCGCATTCATGCTGCAAAATATCATTTTTATATTCAATATAAATACTTCACATCTTTAAAAATAAAATAATAGGTATATGAGCCGTGTAATATGAATGAATAAAATATTTGCTTGAAACAATTCAATTATCTTAATTAAATTGAGGAATCCACAGTCCAAAAATGTTTTCTACCAATTTAATGACTAAAACTTACCTGAGGATTAATTGGCATATCTTCTTCCAGCTACTCAACCACAAAATATTTGTTGTTTAGGAACATTTGTAATTATAAACAATGTTTAGTTCCCATCTTGAGAAGAGAAAAAGGGATTATTTTTACTTATATTAATACGTACTACATTTTTAAATTATGCATATACACACCAGAATACATATTAATGCCATTTTATCGAAATATTTATTTTATTTTCTTACATTATTCTGATAATCTGAGTTGATGATAGCTCAAGAGAGGGCCTCATTCTATCTAACTGGGATATTGAGACTACACTATAATAAAAAGAATTGTGGCACTTGTTCAATAAATATAGAAAAATAAATTTTATAGTAGGGAAGCAAATTATTCCAAGTTAATTAGTAAAGTTAATGCATTATTCTAGTAAGTATAATCAGTTATCGACAGCAATAACTATAACAATAGCGGCCGATAGAGAAGCCTGGCGGAAGCTTGTTTCTGAAGTCCAGGTCCAGTAACACTATAGAGCGTATTAATAATAATTATAATAATAATAACTATATAATACTTGCCAATATTGAATAATTTTATCCTTATTTTTATATTATGTGCATCCTTTATTTCCAAAATGTCTTAGTGAGCCATACAAATGTTATTTTTGACAGAGTATAGCAAAAACTAGCATAGTGTCCATTATTGAGTGCATTCCCCATAGAATCTACAAAATTACCTTAACACAGAGGGTCTCCAAACCATGGCCCACAAACACCTTCAATCCACCCCGCAAATGTTTCTATGATTACATGGTAAAATTAAAATAAAATTTAGTAAACCACTCAAACCCAAGGTTATTACATTTATTGCATGATTTTTTTTCTCTCAGAAAGCTCATTTTACAACTGATTTGTCGTCTATAGAATAAATCACTATGGCCCATGGGATGGCGGCCAAACCGTTTGGAGACCCCTGCTATAACACATAAATATAACACACCCCTGCTAATATAAAACATGCTGTAATTTTTCCTATAAATGAAAAAGGTGGTGGTTATAATCCAGAAAATTACAGAGGACTGACTTTCATTCATAAATGGCGTAGGAAAATGTTCACTGGAATAATTCAGCTTAAGCTTTATAATTCATTACTCAAGCAGTCATTTTTCAAGAGTGGCATGCTAATTATAAAATAATTAATGAATCACCAGATAATACCAGATCATACGATAATCACCATCATCATGATTCACCAGATGATAGGCCCTATATTGAGGTCTTCACAATTTTTTAAAACTTGTATTTTAAATAAATGGAAATATATTTTAGCTTAAATATCTAATTAGTGATGGAATTTTTAAAAACAATTCTCTTGTACACCAGTGAGTTTCAAAATATGTTAAGTCTGAACATTAATAGCTGAGTAATCAAAAAATATACATACCACCACTTATGATTATTTTATGAGAAAACTAGGAGATTGATGAGTTTTTGAAGATACAACATCATCAATTCGCGATTATCCAAAGATTTTTGACTAAATTCCATTACACAAATAGTCATTTTTATTATTAATAACTATTTTATTATCCAGCTTATTTACTTTTATGGAATGTACTAATAAAAAGAAAAACAAATAAACTAGTGATTTAAGTAATTTTTCAAGGCATTATGTGGTGTTGGCATTATGTTACCTACAAGACAAGATCTGAAACTCATGAAAAATATAATTAAAAAAAAAAACCCTGAGTAACTAACCTCTTTTTCTGATAGTTTCTCTTGATATTCAGCTAAATGTTCATTAGCACAATCCAGCTAATGGAAACAAAAACAGTAATATCATAATCGTTAGTGTAGTACTCATAATTAATTATAAAATATTTATATTGAGTCTGTGATTATAGAAATGAGACCAACATAGAACAAATTAAAATAATATTAATGAATTGTGGATAGAAATGAGAATGAGACAAATTAATGAAAAACAAACTTAAAGTAAAGCATTATCATAAAAATAAAAAAATCTTGGGTTACCTTCAATATATTTCCTTCAATTCTCAGCAAGTTTTTAAAAACCTTTTCTGAAGAAAATTTTGATTTCTTGAATCAATAAATTTTATCAGACATTATGACATATAAATCTGGGCCTTAATTATGAGCATCCATTAACTAAGTTCTATTAATTAATTAAAAATTCCATTTCCAAATAATCATACAAAAGTATTAGCATGACCCGATAAGGATAATTCTACCACCCAATTTGATTTTTCCAGTTTGATTAGCTTCTCAATAACATTATTATATTCCAATGCTAAATTAAATGAAATTGAAGAAAAATACAGATCACTCTGTATTTAAAAATGATTCAATCTTATTTAAATAAAATGAGCCAATATTAATAGTTACTATGCTCTAATGATTGCAAACTGTTGTATAAAATGAAATATATTCATAAGCCATTTTTACGTATATTAAATGACTAAAATCTAATATTATAGATTAAAGGATATTTTTGTTTTATTTGTTTAAAGAAAATGATGACTTCTTACCTGATTTTTTACATCTGAATACATAGCTTCTAAAGCATTCAGTTTGTTCTTCAAAGATTTGATTTCCAGCTATAAAAGAAATTAGTAATTTTTTATTAATAAACAACTGTGACTCAAAGTTCTTAAGAGATAAAGGGAAAACTAATCTACTCAGTTACTGCCTTGGGAGTAATTGGTTAAGAGAAGTGTAAGGTGGTGAACCTTGTTTGTATTGGTCCATAAAAACCTTAATTTTTTTTAATGAGGTGCTGCAACTATTCTAAACAATAAGACATTCAATTATCCTTAACACGTTAGCTGCGGTTATGGTCCCCAGCGTCTGATAGTTTTATATCAGATATAATGATTATTTACGTTTCCACATATCTTTCTTTACATCTGTCCAACTCCAATTCAAATATTTTAATATTTTAAAAATATTTTTTTAAATGACCAATTTAGAGACTTCGTAAGAGAGGCAAAATTTGAAGCAATTCCGGCCGAAATCGAGACGAATATTGGAACCCCGGGACCGTAACCACAGCTAACGTGTTAAAAAAGAGTTTCAGATCTTAAGCTGTTTGGGAAAAAATTCTCAGGAGTTTCATTAATAACAATTTTCAATCCTTAAGATCCTTTGCTAAATCAAACAATTTTTTTTTTATATGAAACATTTATATAGGTACACACACATGCATATGAGTATATATATAATTATTATAAAAGTTGGGTGTGGGTGGAGTATCATAAAAGTATATTCATCCATTCATTCATTGATGGACTCTACAGTCCTTGAAGAACCATGACCTCAGCTAACGTCTTCTTCCACATATCCCTGTCCACTGGGAAGCGCCTCCACCGCTTTACACCCATCTCCTTTAGGTTACTTCCACTTCGTCCAACCATCTGAGCTCCAGGCTTTCCATAGAGAAGTTTTCTCGGCATTCTTGTAGAGTCCACCCTTTCCACATGTCCCAACCATCGCAATCTGTTGAGTTGAATGACTCTAACCATGTCATGTTCACCATAAAGCTCTTTTAGCTCTACTTAGTAGAGCACTTTCCTTTCCCATACATGGAGCATCCTTTTGCTTTCTTTTTTAGTCATGGACCAAGTCAAGCTTCCATATGTCACAACAGCCCTCAGAATCGTTTTATATATTATAGTTTTTGTCCTTCTTGGAACATTTTTGCAATTCAGCAGCTTCTGTACACTGTACAGACATCGATTTCCTGCACCAATACTGGCTTTAATATCATTTTCTAATTGCTTCTTGCAGGTGATTGTGCTACCGAGGAACTTAAATTCGTCACAGCTCTTGAATCTCCAGTTCCCTATTCTCATTTCCTCTTCTGTCAACTGGTGTCTTCTTGAGATCCTCATGTACATGCTCTTATCTGTATTAATTCCTAGACCTAGTTCTCCAGCTTCTCTCAGGAATTCTTCAAGAGTGCCTGAAAGCATTTTTAATCATTTTATTTTGGATTTCGTCTAGGCCTAGTGCTGTTTTGTTTTTGAGCTGAGAGATGATTTCATTAATCTCTTCCATATCTGGAGGAATATCTATCTCGTCGAAGTTATCCACTTCACCTAGTGCCTTGCCAGTGTTCTCTCGTTAGCGAGATTTTTCACCTCTTGACCATCATCCAAGATCTCCTGAAAATGAACGGCCCATCTCTCTAATATATCTGTGCCGTAACCTAGAAGTTTGTCGTTCTTGTCTTGTGAAATTGTCTCTTGGACGGAAACCTGCTCTTATGTCCTTAATGTTCCTACAGGATTTTCGCCTATCATTTTCTTTGAAATACTCCTCTTTTTTCTCCAGTCTTTCTATCTCTAAAAGCCTTTTCTTCTTTCTGCATAGTTTCTTTAACAATGTTCTATTTTCTCGATACAAATCTATAGCTTGCCTTGTTGTTCTTTGCAGGTTTCACATCGTAGCTTCATTTTCCTGCTTTATCGCTACCACGCATTCATGATCAAACCAGTCTTTACTACTTTTCGTGGTTCTCCTTCCCAGCACTTCCTCCGAAGCTCCTTTCAAGATGCTTTTAACCTTTCTCCAATTATCTTCCATTGTTGCCTTCTCAGCCTTACCTGCATTCGTCTAATATTTCCTGGTACCTCTTCCTTACGCCTTCTATTTTTAGTTTTTTTGCAGCACAGATTGATCTCTTTTCAATGTTCTGTGGAGGTTTTCCAGCCAATCACTACCTATACTTGGCCAATACCAAGTAGTGATCACTGACCGCCCTCACTCCATTATCGTTTGACTTTTAATGCTTACTATGTTGTCTTTTAGTGGTCCTAAACACTTCTTCCCTTCCTATTTTCGCGTTTAAGTCTCCTAAAATAATTTTTACACCGTAATTTTGGAGTGAGTCACTTACCATCTCAAGGAGTCCATAAAATTCATCCTTATAATGTTCTTCTTTTTCTTCTGTAGGTGTGTGTAAGCTGAAGATTGACAAATTAACAACTTTATCTTTTAACCTAATATTGCAAATTTGTTCATTTACTGCGTCATAGTTCATTAGTGACTCCTTGTGGCTCTTTTTTTATCATGAAACCTTCCCTAGTTTGTTTTGTTTATTACCACTGTTAATTAAGATGTATTTATCTAGTGTCACTAGAAACACCTCACCCCATCGGATTTCTTACAAGGCTGCCACGTCCACTTTATGTTTATACAACTCTTCTACAAGTTTTCGGCCTGCTTCTGCTTGTAGTAAGCTCCTAACATTCCAAGTTTCAACACGCATGTTTATTTTCTTATATCTAAAACTTTTTGACATTCTCCTTCCCTCTCTACTTCGTCCTCAAAGGCGTTGGCTGGGGCCTCCCCGAATCCAAATAGGCTTCCATGGGATTCTCTTTACCATTGCCATACAAAAAACATTAGCAGTTTCTTTGACAGTATTTTTTTTCAGACTCATCTCAACCCTCTTCCTTCATCCAGGTTTGGGACTGGCAGAGTACTCAGCAAAGCTGTTTTCACTGGCGGAGTTGGTGGTGTATATATATATATATATATATATATATATATATATATATATATATATATATACACATATATATAAAAATAAATAAATTAAATAATTATTGTTATGTTGTATTGATTAGTTTCTACCTCTGTTTCTGAACGATCTGCTTGAAGCTCTGCAATAATTTCCTTTGCTTTTTCAAACTAAAGAGAGAAAAAAATGATTAATATAATTTTATAAAAATATTGGCACATTTAAAATAAAATATGGTTTTAGCATTTTCAATTGTTAAATGTTTTTACTAAATTATCGGTACTTGTGACTAGTACGTCTTCCCGACGAACTTCACCTCATGACATTTATCATAATATTTCACCTTCGCAATTATCCTGGCATCTTGAAAATATTTGATAGCTGCTTCTTCTGAAGATGACAATTCCCACTATGTAATTACATCCATTTTAATAATGCACAATGAATAAATACACATACAACAGCTCACACTATATAAAATGGCAGGTTACGTGACGTAACATAACATAAGATAAGAAGGTGACGTAACATAAGGTAAGAAGGTGACGTAAAATAAGATAAGAAGGTGACGTAACATAAGATAAGAAGGGAGGTTTCGCAGAGGCGACGTCGGTCACAAGTACCAAATTATCTTCTGACAATTTTTTGCCTAAAATCCATTGACCAAACTTAATTAATAACTAAGACTGCTCCAATTCTGGGCCATGTTATTGTTAGAATTAATTAATTGATGTTATTTGTTATTGTATATTCTACCTAAAACACTGTTAACAATAAAGCAAGTGTGATTATTATTTTTAATCGACTTAAAGGAAAAACAGTGAGAAGATAAAATATGGTTTTATTAAGTAGATTATTAAGTTATTATCTATATTATGATTATTTAGTTATTAAGCAGCTTATTAAGTTCTAAGCTCTGGGTCCCGAGATAGGGTCTGGCTGAGGCAGAAAATTATTGTGTTACAACAGGGTTGGGAGATCCTGCTGGTGTGGATACTTTTCATTTAATAATTAATTAAGGGAAAAAATTACGATAGGCAACACTGTCATATGTGACGTCAGTGATCACAACAATGTATACTCCCTCGATAAGGCTTCTATGTTTGTAGACACAACGGTATACACAACGAACAATAAACGTTTTTGTACTGTCTGTGTTTGTTTCATAAAGAAACCCTAACCATTATTAACAGTTATATGCTGAAGAAGAGAACAGAGATTCCCCAAAACATACATTAATAAAGAATAATCAATAAAGCAAGTGTGATTATTATTTTTAATCGACTTAAAGGAAAAACAGTGAGAAGATAAAATATGGTTTTATTAAGTAGATTATTAAGTTATTATCTATATTATGATTATTTAGTTATTAAGCAGCTTATTAAGTTCTAAGCTCTGGGTCCCGAGATAGGGTCTGGCTGAGGCAGAAAATTATTGTGTTACAACAGGGTTGGGAGATCCTGCTGGTGTGGATACTTTTCATTTAATAATTAATTAAGGGAAAAAATTACGGTTGAGTGTAATCTCGATCAAATAAGCTCCTTTCAGAACAATTAATCAAAAAACAGTATTTCCTTACAAAATACTGAATCCAAGCCACTTCTAAAGTTTTATTGTTGCAGGTTTTCAATAATTATAGGTTTTGAATAATAACAAAACTAAACGATAGTTTTCAATATTAATATAGGACAATTTTATGGTATAATCCAAATGGAATATTAATTGAAATATTTAAGAAGTATGTTTTAAAGAAGAGGACATACTCCCAAAATTACAATATATTGAAAAAGAAAATAATAAAACAATTATTGGAAGATCTTTTTTCTCACTTTATATTACAACAGACTTCCTATTAAATTTGGAAAAAAACTTTAATTTTGTTTTTTGTATTCTTAAGGCTCTTAATAATTAAATGATTTAGTACATTCTAAATTAAAGGATATCCATGGTAAGTGGATAGAGTCAATAGATAGTTATATACAACATAAAGTGAAACGACAATTTAACATACCTTTACTTGCAGTTCTCCAAACATACAATTAACAGTGTTCAGCCTATTCTTCATGGCTTTGATTTCAGACTAAAAATAAATAAAATGTATTAGTAAATAAATAAAATTAGTTAATTATTTCACATAAAATTTCAAGATCTGAGTTTCAATTCAGTGCAGTCACCACCCTTACTTTTTCTTGAATCTGCCTCTTGATATAGCATTTAAGTCCAGATATCGATCAAAAATATATAAAATGGAAGTATAGACTTGAAAAGGTGATTTTAAACAATGATAACACCAGACTACATTTTGAATATTCCATGAAAAAAAGTTGAAGAATGAATGAAGAATTTCTTCTTCACGTGCTACATCCCTTGACATTTCTACTTAAGATTAACATTAATAGTAATCCTTTTAATCAGTTATTTTTTATACAGCTTAATTTTTCATAGTTGAATAAAAAAAGTGATTAGATTTGGACACTAGCGGATCCAGGATTTAATTTTGGGGAGGCTTCAGCCCGAAACCTTTTTTTTTTCATAAAAATAACGATAATTACTTTGGAAAAACAGAAAGAAACTAACTACCTATACGAAATGGTGTTCAAGTTATTCCTTAAGTACTTTTAAATGTAATTACAAGAACAATAATTCTTTAAGAGGTATTTTTAAAATATTTTTTTCCCATAAAACATGGTTATATTTTTCCATTTTGGGGGGGGATTCAGCCCGAAAGCCCCCCCTCCCCGTAGATCCGCCCGTGGATTGGGATATGAGCAGTGAACTACACCAAATATTAATATACCAAGTGCGTATCCATCATAAAATTCATACTGAAGTTTAAAACTGTTTAAGGACCTGATATTAAAACATTAAACAATTTGTTCATTATTGAAAATTAAAAGAACAACTAGTTGTTGAAATACTAAAACTATACAAAGTTAACATATCTAACCATATAAATTCTGAAATAAATTGTTATAAATTTACAGATTTATAACCTTTTTATTTTTCTGTGACAAAACTTAAAAATTAGAATTTACAACACTATTATTCTGCCAATGGTTCTTTATAGTTGCGAAATGTAGTCTCTTACATTAAGGGATGAGCAATGTTTTAAGATTTTTGAAAACAAGGTATTGCATAGAATATTTGGACTGAAGGATGAGGCAGCCCGAGAATTTAGGCGGATACACAACGCTGAATTTGACAAATTGTATCTGGTTAATATAATTGATGAAATTGCATTTCGATAAATAAAATGGGCGTTTAATATGTTTGTGTAACCTTAGTAATGAAAGAATCCCTAAGGTTAATTAGCGCTGTACCGAATGGTACATCAGAGGGGTAGAACAAAGCGAAGGTGGGAAGATTGCATTATGACTGATCTGATGGGATTGAATTTGGATGGTACCTGGAGAAATAGTGGTGGTATCGGCGTCGAACCTTCGCGTTTTCTACGAATTTATTATTATTATTATATTTATTTTATTATAATAATGCTTATATAAACCACCTTGCTGATTTTGATGTCTTCCTCATTACAAGCAATTTCACGTCTAAGAGATTCTTCAATTATTTCATTCTGGCAAATCTGAAAGAAATTATATTTCTTTTATTAATACAAATTAATATTATTATTTATATAATTGGTTATAGAATTCTGATTCAAACACAAGAAAGTTACATAAAACAGAAAAAATAATTGAAAAGAATAAACAGCCCACACACACATACATACATATATATATATATATATATATATATATATATATATATATATATATATATATATATATATATATATGGCATGAATCTCGACCTTCCCACTGTAGTTAGGTTTGGTATACCTTTGGTAATAGGGTTAGTTGTACCTCTAAAACATCCGTATGCCAGAAATAGCGAGGTAGGAGTATTGAGAAAAAAGAGGTCATACATTTTTCCTCCAATCATAAATGGGACACAGAGCTTTCCACGACGCCCTGCAAATATAGAAATAACGCAAATTTCTTTTAAAGTAATTGCGTCTCGTCATCATACGGAAAGACGCCACTGAGACTTTCCCATCTTGTCTTCATATCTTTTGCCAGCTACCTACTATTGCCAATTCCTAAACTTTTCCTAGTAAAAGGATTTTAAACCATTAAAGCAGAGTCATAGGACAGCGGAGGGTCAGTTCGTTGTATTTCCGAGGTGATCTGTGGGCAGCTTATGGTTCAACAAAAAACACAATCAGGAAATAGGATCACACATAGGGAATAGGTGATGCAAAAATGGCTTTGATTTTCCCATCGAAATTTATTTATTTGATTTTCCCCGACTACCAGAGGGAATGGGCTGCGTGAACTCTCCAGAGTTGCCTATCGGCAGTATACTGCACCTCCTTTTCGCGTAGCTATTTGAGCGGAGCTAATTCTGTTCGAGGTAGCGGTTGTTGACTGTCTCTAGAGCAGGATTTTTCGTTTCTCGTTCAGGTGTTAGGTGGTTACATAAGGGTTTCGTTAGGTCCAGTCCTGTCTCTCCAAGTTTTGGCTGATCTCTACCCCTATAAATGGCAGGCCAACACCGAGATTTAGAACCTTTCCTTGTAATAGTTAGTTGTTTAACTTTGCTTGCTAGTAAATTTTTCCTCAAAAGGTGCTGGGCAGATGTTTCTTAAACATCCTAATAGTTTAATGCAAGTCGCTTCATTCTTTCTGATACTGACAGCCACCACGTTCAAGTGGTTGTGTACCCGTTTGAATTTTAAGAATTGCAACCAGTGTAAATTACCTCGCTCCTGTGGCCAGCCTCAAAGCTTTATTTGCACCATGTCCAATGCATGTAGGAAGATTTCTGACTCAGACAATAAGATCTCACTTCCATACTTCATTACTGATCTTGTGAACGACTTGTAAGCCATGACCTATAATTATGCGTGTGCACCATAGTTGATTCATGCCAGTGTTTTTATTAAACTTAATTTTCCTTCCCGTTGGACAATTAATTTATCTATGCGGTTTTTCCAATCAGGTTTACTGTCTACCCCAATACCTAGGTGCAGAATCAGTTTGAGAAAGCTTCTAATTATTAAATATAATTTCAACATTGCTTTGTTCTTCGAGAGGGTGGAGAGCAGGTACTACTTTACGAGTTTTAACCCAAAAACAGGTTATCTACACATGTATTATATTGTCCAGTTATTTAGTGATACTAAAGCAGCTTTCAAGCACAACCTATGTCATAATAGTCGATTCTGTTAAAGCATAAATTTTAGCATTTTAATATAAAATTAAACTTTAAACTAGGCATAAGAGCTGGAACCTTGGCTGCTTTTCTCCCTCTTGTCGGGCCTGGGCCTAGGTATGTAGTAACTATGAACAACAGTCATTCCATTATTCTGATGTTTTTTTATAAATAAATAAACTTAAACCTCTATATATTTTGTCTCAAAATGATTGAATATTTTTTTTAAAAAACGTCTAAAAAATAAAGAAAAAATTCACTGCGAACCTAAATTACAATAAGAAGTTTGGTTTAAATTTTTTTAGCCGTTCAAAACGGACAAGTTGTCCAGAGATACGAATAAAATTAGATGATTGGCCCTACACAACGTAGTTTTAAAATGGTAAATTGACTTTACTTAAGAACACATTCAGCGCAACGGATAGGCATATTTAGATATAACTATTTTCGGATTTCGAAATGCATGGAACTTAATTATAAAATAATATCATTAGATTCGAAGTCGTAGTAGTATACCTTGGCCAGTCAGTAAAAGGCACCACTCCTCCACTCTATTCCCGTTTCCGAACTCTTCCGTACCTCGGCCTTCACTAGCTGACCAAAGTATACAGAAAATCGCAATATTTTATTCGTGAGATAGTTTAAATAAGTAATGAAGAAATAATAAAATTTGCGTGAGATATTTACCTGCTGATTCTGCTTTTCAATAATGCAACTTAATTGGTACACAGTTTTCTGAAATAGACAAGGTACATTCCATGTATTTTACACATTATATTAATTTTGAAATACATCAATACCTTAAAATAGACTCCTGTACTTCTCAACTATAAGTCTGGCCTGAGACAGCCACCAAAAAAAGCTTGGCAATGTCTGACTTGCGAGCAATCTAAAAATATTACTTGAGGCAGTGACCCAAACCAAACTTGTACCACCGAGCCATCACTGTCAGAAATACTGGCGGCAGTTAATCGATTGGACAGCAATGTTAATGAAAAGATAAAAAAACAAAACAGAAAATCGACCCTCGTTAAGTATGGTGAACTAAGTTTTGAGCTGAATAATCGATTGACGAAGATAGAAAATCACCTAGAGGGCCAATAAAAACATTTAGAGGAAATAATCTCTAAAAATAAATCCCTGAAATGTAGAGTGCAAGAACTAGAGGTACGACTGAATAAAGCCAAACAGAGTCTGGTAAGTAGATCATATCGATATAAATATAATAAATTATAATATTAAAAAGATATAATAAATCGAGGCAGCCAATTGCGAGCAGGTAAAACCCTCGCAGCTCTGGGGATCAAGCTGTCTTGAAGATCTGGACGAGCAGCGGCGTAGAACCAAAAATGACGACCCCTGGCGGCTGACTCCCATCCCGCGCTTTATCAGAGAGGGCGACCTGATACAGAGAACAATAGTAAAGAAAGAAGACGAAAATCAGGCGATTTTCATCGACCTGGATGTCTTCACCTGTCTGGTTGAGTCTCATCTGCTCTTCAGTATCATGAGAAAAGTTGGCATGTCGATTAGCCCAGTCAAATTAGCACAAAAAAGGGGTCTGTCGTGTAAAAGCTCGGATAATTAACTTTTTTTATACATTGTTAGGTGTATGGTGAATATAAAAAATTTAAGTTTTTCCCCTCGAAAGGCTTTGAATATAATGAGCCATTGACCGGAACGGTAGACGATATTGAGAAGGCGTTTTGTAAAAAGTGTTACACGGTGGGCCAGACCTCCTTACCGTGTATTCTCTCCCCTCCCCCACATTCCAATAAATTTCATATATTTGTGTTCCTTGTAACTATTTATTAAAAAAGAGTCAGTGTTACCTAAAATAAAACGTGGTCGCACTGTCCCAAAATCACGTCCAAACATAGCGCATTGAAGTGTCTAACTTGTGTTAATTTTTCTGAGATTCAGCGTTTGGTTTAATTTCGTCATAACTGGCCTTTTATTAAAACTGGATATTCAGAAAATAATAAAATATGAAAAAGTATAAAAAAACAACTGACCTTGGCGATAAAAACACGAGTAAAATTAATTTTTTCAGGATGTTCGAAATAAAGTTACAAATCAGGTATTGTTTGTAAATAAACGGCTAACAATAACGGAAACCACACCGATAATAACAAAATTTTAATTACCCGACCTTTTGCAAGGTAGCATGTCTAATTTGACTGGGCTATATCGGACATCCGATGAATATTATATTCCATAGTGTAGTTTTAATTCATACCATATTTTATTTGATGCATCATTTCTGTTCCAGCTTCTTCCTATCAAATACAGATTGTACTTTCAATTCTTGTCCATGTCTAGTGTCCTTACTGCCTGTCATGTTAATTCCCAATCCCTTCTAGCCCATTATGATGAATTCCTACAATATTTCCTAAATTGTTACCACATTATAGCGATTTCTGAAACCTCGCTCGTCCTACATCCCTTCCTCCGCTGTCTTCCTGCCTACACCTGACACCTGAATCCGCCACGACCGGGACTGCCGGCAGGGTAGTTATGTATGCCCATGAAAGCCTTAAGACCCGAATATTCGACTTTTCTCCTCCATCTGATAACTCACAAATTGAGTTCCTTATTATATACCATAGTATATCACCCTCCTCATGTTCCTTAAATCGGTTTTTTTAATCATTCCTCTTCATCCCATAATCAACTTTCCGAAGACTTAACAACTAATTTCCTTTCTGACCCCAACGATAAATCATACGTCTAAAACCCTTTTTTCCCCTTAATGGTCCCTTTCACCACACCGCCAGGCCCTACATGCATATTATCGATTCCGCTCAGAACCTCCTTTCATCTTTCCAATTAACAGTTTCCTTTTATCCTCTCATGGCCTAATCCAAATATCATATAATATCCAAACTCGTCTAATCATACCTTGAACCATAACTTTCCGCAATCTTGATACCGGTTGACATTTTCGCCTACAACCTTCTTAATATCTTTGATGTCCAAACTCAAAAAACCTCTACCTTTCATCGCCGCATGTCTTACCAAATTATGGATCTCCAGAAGAGACGTGACGCTGAGGCTTTATTATTACTGTTGACTTTGTGGCGTTTAGGGTGTTCCACAACCTGACTCAAACAAGAACCCAACGAGCCAAATCCACTTATTTCTATAAAGTTCTCTCATCAGCTCTTTATTCCAAATCCAAATGACTACTCCTTCCTAAACTTTCTCTATCTATGAACCTTCCAGATTATCTCCATCAGCATTCTTTTCAGTATCACAAGGTAATTTGTTTATGACATTTACAACTGCCTTAAGAATAAAAATAGATTCACTAAATGTGATAACATGAAAACATTTGTTGAGAAACTACCCACTTGCAGCACTCTAAAATCAGATGTTTTAAATTCATATTTTATATATACTAACTCTAACATTTCACCACTGACCTCTTCCTTTTTTTCTTCTGGAACATCCTTTATTTTTCAGATATTTCGCCATAGACCTCATATCTGCTGTGAAATAACATTCTTATACCATTGGCCCAAATGGTATTCCTGCCAAATTAATCAAATCATACCTCCCTGAAACCCTTTCTGTTCTTTTTTTCATCCATAATTTCTTCCTTCAGAACTCAGAATTTTCAACCCCTTGGAAAAAAATTCACTGCTTCTTTAAATAAAAATTCCAACCCTACATCCTCCTTACCACCACACAATCCATCTTAATCAAAATCATCAGTGGTGTTCAGTTCACTACAGATGACAAAACTGTCCTTGTACTCATTGATTTTTCCATAGCCTTCGATACCATCAACCATTCAATCTTTTTTAAAATTAAAATAATTGTAATTTTCAAACCATTCTAACCTTTGGTTTCAATCTTTCTTTTCTCAACATATTCAAACAGAACTATTCCTAATTAATCTTTGTCTTCTTATGTTACTCTGTCCTAAGGAGTGGCCCAGGGCTCTGCACACCTCGTCTTCTTTTCAGTTTCTATATCAATGACCTTCATAAATCAATTCTTTACTGTTCCCATCACCTCTATGTGGAGTATTCTGGAATTCACCTTTCCTTCTCTCCCTCCGAGTTTCAGGATGCATTTGCCAAAATTCAAGAAAACTTAAATCAGATCAGTGCCTAGGCAAAGTTAAATGGATTAATAAGCCTAAAGTTGCCAAAACTGGAGCCATTCTTATTGGTTAATTCCAATATCAATTAATTCCAAACCTCCTCTCAGATCCAATAATAACATTTCTAACCTGTACCTAAGTGACCAACCCATCACTTTCAGCTTCTCAGTTAAAAATGTAGGCATTTCCATTGACCAAACCTTCTCCTGGAATCACCATATTGCCCACATCTTCTGACGATCAATCAGTAGTCTGAAACTATTCCATCCGCGCAGCTCTACTCTTCCTTCTGAAGACAATATTTCCTTGGCACATTTCTTTACCAAATAATCAATAACCAATGCTCGTCCTACACATACAATCTCCTCTAATTTAAGGCTGGGCATACCCAAGGAGGATCTCCTCATTGCCAATGTAACTGAATAAATATTTTATTTTTTTATTTGAACCTGCGACCTTTAGCATTGGAAGCTAGTTCACTACTCCACTCCTTTTATTTTACTTAAATAAATATATAACTCCGAGGTTTTTACTGCCTACCATTGATATGATAAAATAAAGATTGTGTTATTTTAATGTCCCTAATGAATTTTTACAAATTAGCTGTAAGATTTTAGGTTTAGCTCTGTTAAAAATGCACATTAAAAACTTTGTAATAGCTCAACATAGCAAGAAAATAATTCCTATTCAAAGTATAGTAGTAAGCGAAAGTTGTGTGATGCGCACATCAGATTTTTTCATTTAAACTTGCAGATTTACTAACAGTAAGACTTATTACAATTACAACTGAAATTTTCAAAATAGTTGACAGAAAGCACTAATAGGCTTTAAGGTATTGATGCATTTAACTATTTCTACTCAATCTAAAATAAGAGAATAGTAACTATATTTACAACTATGCAAGTTCATACATTCAACCCTCCAGAGCTCCTGTAAAATATTTGTCTAATGACCTCTTCGTGAGCTGTTATGAAACAGGAAATTCTTATAATTTTCTAATTAAAACATTATATTTTGAAAAAGGCTGTTCGCTAATTATATTTTACTAAAAAAAATCTTCTAAATCACAAATTCTTTATCAAAGTACAAAAAGGGAAAAGTTAATTGATTAAGCGATGTTGGAAGAATTTTACTTTTCTTTATTGGTTGAGGTTAACTATAGCTCAGGAGCGATTAGCATCCTTACACACAACTATGTTAAATCTTAATTTTCTAAAAAAATTATTAGTAAAATGTGCATCAACTTTTAGGAATAAAGGGAGAGTATTTTTATTCTGTTGGTATGCAGGTATTTTTTTTTTAAAGCCCAGTATGCCAAATATTATGTACAAATACACCAACTTTACTTTGGCGATTTTAAAAAGAAGAAGAAATTAGCTTGGAAATTTAGTGAACAAATTTTCTATAAAGAAGAAGTGATTCTATCCTCTATCTCTCCTAAATTCTGCTTTGAGGGAAAGAAAAAATTGGAAAAAGGCACACTAAAGTGATGCAAAAAGCTAAATCTTGTGATTCTCGACTTCTTAGATAAATATTTCTCTTACTTGTAATAGAAAATATACAAACATTACATAATAAATTAACTTGTTTAAATAGTATTCTTGTTGAGGTAGGTTAAAAAAACAGATCAGTAAAAAAATTTATTCAACAGGGCAAAAAATCTTCATTAAAAAAAGTACTTATCATAAACAAAATGTCGAAATATAGAACAAATTTGAAAAACAAGCAATCATTAATTTTTAATTAATAAATATAAAACTGAAGAATGGATAACTACTGTTCAAGTACTAATTTATACATTTCATATGTAATATTATAAGATACTTTTTGAGAAGAGATTTATTGTTACAATTAATAAACTTTCTGTAATATAAAACAAAATTTTCCACTTTTTTTAGTAATAAATTTTAAGTACATAGAGTATATGCTTACTTACTGATTAAGTACTGTTTTATTTTGAATGCTATATATCAACCATTGATATTTTTTTAATTTTTCCAATCAAGAGTATAAACATTAAAATAATACTATAAAATGCTATCAAAAACACAATTCTAACATATAAAAATTATGGAGATGCTTCGGTTTTTATTACACATTCATAACAGTATTAAAAAAAAGAAAAGTAAGGTAATTTGGTATAATCATTGGTGAGTTATCTGAGTATTCTGTTAATCTTTTAACAGTTAAACAATAAAATGTTTACTATTAAATGTTTGGCTCAACTTAATTTAATCTTTATACATCATGTACATGTCTCATTTGTTTATTCTGAGGCCAAGAAAAGATCCAACTTTTATTACTTACAACCTCTGGTGTCTGATTTTGTAAAGATGCTTGTAGTTTACAGATCTGAAATCGTAATTAAAATAATTTGAAAGTATAAAAACTATAATTATTACTACCACAATAATGAAGATAACACTCACAAAAGATAATTTTTAATTTAAAATAAGACATTGATCTATTACTTAAACTAAGAAAATAATAAAGAATTTTTGACACTTAAGTACTCAAGTAATCCCCTACTCTCCCCTCCCCCCATTTAATATAGGTACAGGTTTTTGCCATATACACTACATCAGAGGTGATAGACTTCATTTAGGACCACTTAATCACTGAATTTGATGATGTGTATATATAATTATATAATTGAAGTTTGTCAGAAACTGCCAATCTTGTTATTCAGTTGGAGCAGAAGTGACCATCGATGAGAAACTGGATGCCTTTAGTGGTTGATATTTATGTTGTGATGATGTTTATATTAATTATTCTTTAATCTAATTTAATGCTATTATTTTTTCTATTATTCAGTGATTTTTGTGTTCGTATTTAATGGTATACAGAATTTAATGTTCAAGTTCCTAATTCTGTCAACATATTTTTAGTTTTGATTTTTAATATATTTTTTTAATTATGTAACTGTGTTTTTTACTCAATAAATGTATTAAAAAACTCATATATCTTTTTCATTCAGTAAAATGAGAAATTCGTTGGTATTTTTGTTTAGTAAATTGATTTATTGAAGTGAATCTCACACTTTCATAATGATCTTCCCCCTGTCTAAGTTTTTTAAAAATGTGCCCTAGTCCAATGCTAATTCATGTTCTCTTTTATATTTCCTGCAGTTAAAGAGCACGTGCCTTGGATCCTCTGTCCCTTTAGAAATTTCACCGTTTCCGTCTTTCACAATTCCCATAAGAGCAAGATATTTGTGCACCTGTGGTTAGTCCGCAGTCTTATAATCTGTACTATACTTTGTAGCTTAAGTTGCAGATTCAAAGCATTAAACCATGGAACAAGGTTGGCTGTACCTGATAGTAGTTTCTCCATTTTGATTGAGACTCCCAATCGTACCTATCTTGCCATTCTTTAACTGTTTCTTTCTTTAGGAGTTATAAAAGATCCATCATAGGTACCTTGGCATTCTCTTTCACTGTTTGCCTTGTCCCTGCAGCTCTATCAGCAGCCTCATTTTCAGACAATCCTATTTGGCTTGGTATCCACTGAAATTTGTTCTGGTTGTTGCCTGATATTATGTTGTTAATTATTTAAAATTTGATATGTGATATCATTTTTTTCTTATGAACTTAGTAGTCTACAGGAGGAGGAGTCAGGAGTCAGTGAGAATAACTCTTTTAGTGTTTGAATATGTGTGTCCACAGTGTTTAATGGCTTTTAAGATTGCAAAAAGTTCAGTACTGAAGTTAAGGTAAGGAAAACAAAATTTTGTGTTCTTTAGCTGGATAAATTCTCTCTATAGATTCTAATTGTTAAATTTTGGACAGTATTTAAGCTTTTATTCATAGGCAAATTCGTTTAATTATAAATTATGAAGCAGTAGTCCAAGACAGATCGGATAATAAATTTATATAATAATTATCATGTTTAGAGGATTAGAGTCCCAATAAATTTCTGACCAAAATTCTAATATATTATCATTTTTATATTCCAATATTTTGGAATGTTTTTAGTATCCTAAATGCTTCAAATTGTACAGGTATTATCTGAAAGATGAGTAAAAGAACATCCCGAGCAAATGTGGGCTTCTGGAACTTGAAGCCTGTCCTAGTTCACAGCTTTTATTATAATTGCTAGTTCATAGTTTTTATTGTTACATATGTCGATGGTCTATTTTATCAAATCTCTACCACCTTAGTTTGGCAAGCAAGAGATCAATATGTGTTATACATTCTTATATGATTGTTGAGGTAACCTTACACTTGGGTTATAACTATGTACTATTGTTCTATGTGATCTTCAGTAAAGTTGTTATTGTGTTCATGTGTTGTTGCTTTGTTTTACAAATATCTGTCCCATTGTGACCAGTAGAGTTACAGCAATATATAATTTTATTATTAAGCATAAAAAGACTATTAAAGTGTTTATAACTTTAACATTATCAAGTCGAATCCGGCCTGAGTGGATCAAAATTTATTTGGTGGGGGATCCAAGAAATGATTCTTGACATTCCTACTCTGATTAGAATAGGTTTGGTTGTACCTCTGGAACAACCCCTCCCTCCCTGTAAACCAGAAATGGCAAGGAAGAGGATAAATGAAAAAAAACAAAAAAACATACACTCAAGTAAAACTTCAAATTTTCAGTGTTTTGTTTCTCTAATTGTATATTACTATCTTAATTACACCCTCAACCATCTTCTCCTTGGTATAATTTTCATGGACAAAAGAGTACATGCAAAGGTTTAAACTATGCACGATTTGAAAACACTATTAGTACAAAATGAATATACATTAAGGAAGTGTAAGATAAGGAAATTGTGGGGAATCAAAAGCATAAAGATATAAGAAGGCTTGAAATCAGTTCAATATACTAAATATATTTTACCTTGGCCTGAAGTTCTTCCATAACTTTTTGATTTTTTTCTTCCATTTCTGTTTTCTCCAATTTCTGAATTAAAAAATAAAAATAATTATCACCAAACATTAAACAATTCAACAACTAAGAAACAAAACTATTATGTGTAAAATAACTGAAATGAAGATTTAAAATAAAATAAAAATAACTTTTTACATGATTTCAATGAACTAAATCTAAGTCTTGAGGAAATTGATAACTACAAATTTTAAATAACAATAGTTAGTTACAAAATAAAAATTGATTCTATCTGCTCCATTTAAGTACCTAGTACCAAATATCAAATATCTTACTTTTCAATATATGGAGATATTTGTGAATTGGTGTAAATTTTTATTGTTCATGATTTTTAGCTAATGTCAAAAGAGGTGTTTAAATATTTAGTCTTTTAATTCATATACTTAGAATATACTGAGTTCTTTATATATATACAGTTTTCACTAATATTTGAATTAAATTATGCTATTTAAATTCACAGTGATAAATATTAATTGTCATAAAGTTTTATTCAACAACTTGCGAATACAATTTAACTTAAATAGCTCTTATTTTCTAACATTGCTAATATTTTTCATTTGTCCCTGTTTGTGTACAAAATCTTATGCTTTTTGTAGGTGATTTTTATGTATAATATAAAACAAATTCAATATATATTAAAACCTTGAATAAATTTTAATCCTTTTTTTTTTTTTTTCAAAAAAGGATCTAACCACCTTTTTGGTATCTTCAGGAGAATGGGAGTGCTACTTAGCCATGCCATGTGCCATCTAACAAAATAAGCAATAATAGGAAGGGACTATATCTGGTGAATATAATGTTTCCAGGTAGTAGTTTACCGGTTTTCCAACATGTGGCTGAGCATTTAAATTAAATAAAATCACATTGTCATAGCTCTGCTTGTATAGCAGTTTTTTTCTATAAGGCTCAGCTCGAAGGTATCAACTGTAGTCGATGGTGATCTGACATGGTAGTTAGAGCAGCTCATAATAAATCATATCATACTGATCCCACCAAATGCAGAGTAGAGGCTTTGAGCCATGGATGTTTGGCTTTGTAAATGATGTTGATGCTTGGCCGGCCTTACCCCATGATTTTTAAGTTTAAAATTATAGTACTGTATTCATTTTCCCTAATTAACAGAATTTTAGAAGTGGAATTATAACTTTATTGTTTTATAACTTTTAGTTGTTTTTTTTTTTAATAGTGGTATTCAGATTGACATTTTCTGAGAGAATAATTCATGATAATGATGATGATTTGTCTTAGTAACTCTGGAATCCTTTGATGTACTTTTTAATACAGTGGTAGATAAATCTTTTTTTAAGCTTGAGAGCAACGGTGTGAGACAATCCCTTCCAAGTTGTCAAGGCTTATTTCTTACTGTTGCTTTAGGGACAAAAATAAAACAAATTAAGAAAGAGTCATTGCCTACTTTAAGATAAAATAGAATTGTTTAAAAATTATGATTCTGTATATCAAATTCTAATATTACTCATAGCTATATACACAAATGTTTTGTCTATGAAATTTATGAAGCAATTGATCAATAATTATAATGAGAAGAATTGATTTTTATATGTTTGGATTTTATATTCAGGATTAGAGATAAATTTAACCAGCCTAAAAAAATCATCAGATTACAAATAAGACATTCATTTAATCTGTGCCACTCTGAAAGATGTAACATATGGAAAGGGTGAGAGAAGTTAGACTGGATTAAGATGTTAAACAGGGTCAGGAACTTTACAAAATGGATTTTTGTAATGCTAGAGTGAGAAAAATAGGAGAAAGTCTTATACTTACTAAAGCCATATACTCTTCCTGAATTTTTTCTAAACAGCAATTACTTTGACATAAATCTTCTTGAAGACTTTGAATTATTTCGTCTTTGGAATACCCCTAAAAAATGTTTTTAAAATTTAACAAAAACCAAACACCAATATTATGATTATTAATTCACATATTCTATAACATAAGATATATATACTAACATAGATTTCCTCAGCTAATAGCTCATGACAAATCTGTAATTAAAATCAAAACAGCAATACTTTCATAAGCAATTTATCATAAAGAAAAAATAATAATACAACTTAAAATAAACCATTGATTTAAAATAATAATCAGAAACTACAATATTTTACCTCTGTTTGCTGGCTAATAGAAGATGTCAACCGATTCTGAAGTTTACAAAGCTGTGAAACATTAATATAGTATTAGCAATAGTGATTTAACTACATTTTAATTTTTTCTTTTAGAGTGCTACCAATGGGTAGTTTCTCAACATGTGTTTCATGTTATTATATCCATGTGCGAATTTACTAGACGTATTTTTTGTATACAGTTGTAAATATCATATAAATAAATAAATAAAAATAATTTTTTTCTTATGGTTTTGATGATGATGAAGATTAAAGATTTTTATATATACAAAGATTTTTACATGCATGTGCACAAATGTGCCTCATCTGATTGCTTCACTATGCAATATTAATATTTGTCTGATTAATTATACATATATAACTTAATCAGAAAAATATAATGCTTGTATATATATATATATATATATATATATATATATATATATATATATATATATATCATAAAGCAATATGAAGTACATTATAAAATCAATTAAGTACTACTGCTCCTTATATTTCATTTTTAAGAAGTAGAATAACTGAGGAAAATATTAAACCACATGATAGTTTGAAGCAGGGATGATGAATATTAGTACTAGTGAAATTTAAAAAAAATAACATTCTATTATAAAGAGCATTTATTTCAGATTTTAGACCAATGACATACACTCAACAAGCATAAGGTAAGTTTAAAACCAACTATAGACTGGGTAATTAATACCTGCATTTTTAAACTAACAAATGTATCTCTTGTAAAATCACATGCAACAACTAATTCTCTATGCATTTAATCATTAAATGCTTAATAGACAATTTTATTTTATTTTAAGCTCTAGTTGAAAAAATAGTAGTATTTCCTGTCTAACACTTATATCTCGTTTAATGAATTTTTTAGGTCCATCAAAATAACAAAAGAAAACAAAAAATTTCTTAATTAATTAGCATAAGCTTAATTATAAGGTTAGCGAAATTATTGACCTCTGCCAATAAGCAGCATTTTAATTTCTTTCTCATGAAAGCTTAAATTTTGAGAACTATTAAATTAGAATTATCAAAAAGGCAATATCGGCAAGGCTAAAATAAATAACATAAATTTTGTTTGAATTTTTTTTTTCTCGGTGCCTAGGGCCCATTGGAAACAATGCCGGGATATGTGTCTAATATTTTTTGATGTAGTATCATAAAAAAAAAAAAAAATTGGTTGAAATTGGTGATCCACAGACCGTATCCTCTTCTTGTTATTTTTATAGAATACTTTCTAGGTTTTATTCTATTTGAAAGCCCGCTGTTGGATTTACATCCATAATTCTATTGTATATATTTGGTATTATATACCATTTGTTTCTAAGTTGCTTTGTATTAATAACATGGAGGCCTCCCCGATCTCATCATGTCTTACTCTCTCTTGAGGATGGGGTATCTTATCTATGAACGAAGTCGAGTTGCTTGACTAAGCACCTGGCCTTGTCCTCACTTGTTCTGCCGACTTCAAATAGATAACAGCTAACCACAGAGGGAAAGCAGAGAGGACACAGCTCTTCGGCTACACAATCTGCACCAGAAGAAAGCGACTAGAGGGCTTAGACGAGCCAGGGGACAGCGGTGGAGTAGGAGAGAGGCAACACATCTACTATGGTATATAATACCAAATATTATATACAATAAAATTATGGATTTAAATCCAAAATATCGCCCACCTAAATTTGGTGCAGCCAGATTTAACAATAATAAAAGATAAAGAAAAAAAAAAAAAAAAAAAAGAACGAAGTGGTGAGAGGTGGGAAATCAGCTCTATCGAGAAGAAACTGCCTCCACCATCCAAATTCACAAGATAATGAAATAACCAAATTTATACATGAATAAATATATAAATAATCAAATAAATACACACACATGCAATAATATAAGCAATTGTATGTTGCGATTAATAATTAATAAACTAACACACACTAAAATGTATGCCCCTTCAGAGATATTAATTATAATAGAAGGGATGGCATGCCACCGAGCACACCTTAATTCGGAAAGCCTCAAACAATCTTTGGTCCGACCTGTTAAGCACTTTCCTTAAGAAGTGCTGCGTGCTGCTATTGATGACTGGCCATGGAGATTAAATGCCTGTTTCAAGATCAAAGGGGGGCATTTTCAGTAATTTCTTTTTTGTTTTACTTTCTATATACATTTTATGTTATAATAAAGTTTTTAAAAAATGAATTTTTCTGTTGAAATCTGTATACATTTCCTTGTAACAATATTTATTGCAGAATTATTTATATATCAACAAGGGGAGGTTACAGACATGGGATCGCTGATTTCAATGAAATTTTTTTTGTTCTTATATCACCAAAAAAACATCAGACACATGTCTGAAGATTTTTGCAAGTCACATACACATAGACATACACAGACCATTTTGCGGGACTTGGTTATTTTGACTCAGGAGACCTCAAAACATGTATTGGGTTGAAAACTCAGATTCAAAAATATTCATGATCACAATACTACCCCTTACTATATATTTCATATATAGGTAAGTGAAGGGGCGGGGAGGCCGAATGGGCTAAAGCGTGTGCACAGCACCGCGAGTTGCCTGGCAACCGGATAACAGAATTTGAGAAGATTATAAAAAGTATGAATATAGGGGATTTTAAATTCCCCGCCCTCATCCCCCAGCCCGGGAAAATCTCGTATAGCCTAAAAGGCGAGGTAGGGAAAAACAGGAAAAAAAAAAATATATAGGTAAGTGAAAGTAAAAATATTATTACATAATGTCAACTTTTATTCGTATTATTATTTTTGCCCTTAGCTCTGCAGGGATTTCTAGATTGTTATAAACCAACCTATATTTTTTTTTGTATAATAAGAAAATAATAATGCCGATTGTATTAAATAAATTTAAATGTTTAAGGGATTACACAAACCAAGAGAGGTTTCCAGTAAACAAGGCCAAATAAACTTTAGATATGAAAAAGCAAATTGGATTAGTTTGCAGCCTTTTTAAAACCCTTAAAAATAAATTATTATTGAATAATACAATACAAACAAATTTTGTATCAACGTTGTTTCAAACGTGTAACAAAGTTGTTTTTGTTTTTCACATCTTATCTTTCGGTTTTTATAATTTCTTAAACATTTGAATTCGTTTAGTACAATTGGCAAGATTATTTTCTTACTTTACACAAAAAAATAAATCAGTTGGGATATAATAACCTAGAAATTTATGTAGAGCAAAGTATGAAAATAATAATATGAATAAATGTTGATATATTATGAAATAATTTTTCTTAACCCCAAGGGTACGTTGTTATAATATTTTTTGATCTGGTAACACCGGCAAAAGTTTCATTAAAATACGTAATATCTTGTCCATAATAACCTCTTGTAAGTATAACAAAAACAATTTAAGTAATATGTATAATTTAAATTAAGCCACTTACCTGATCTTTCAATTGATTGTTTTCATCTTTTAAAGCCTTGGTTAACAATTTCTCATTATTAATATATTTCTAAAAAAAAGGTTTCATAAATTAAAAAAAAAAATAATTTCTGTTCAAGAAATGTATAAATACATAACATTATTAGGGAATAAAGCTTATTAAGCATTAACCCTACTAAACAGACGCTATATAATCTAAATATTCAGTGAGGAAATAGATTTGATTAAAATGAGTAATAAATACAACCATTGGTCAAATAACAGTACGTCCTTATGCAGCAAGAACCCTGATGATCTAATGAGGAAAAAAGTTAGAAAAATTATAATTATTATTGATAACAGAAAAACTAAAATTTATTTTGGATTAACTTTTATCAGTTCATCTCTTGTATATACTATAGTGCTGAATATGGCTCCCAGATTGGGAAGAAATGACAGCTAAAAATGAATTAGAATGAAAACTTATTGTTTTATGACTCATGTCCCACATGGTAAGTAAATCTGTAGGAACAAAAAATGTATTACAGTGTATAAAATACCAAGGAATGATATGTTTACCTATCTATGTTTGAAAAAAAAAAAAAAAAAAAAAAAAAAAAAAAAATATATATATATATATATATATATATATATATATATATATATATATATATATATATATATATATAAACATTCACACAAAGAGAAAAAAAATGACAATCTATATGTGGTATTAGAAGGTAAAGTTGGCTCAACACTATTGGTGAAATTTGTGTCAAATAACTTGACAAGTAAAGTAAAATATGAATGTGAAAGGACAAATAAACAAATGGAGCAAGCTGTTTGGCAAACATTGTTTGCGAAAGTTGAGTTATTTCTTTTTGCATTCAACCAGAAACCATTATTTCCTAGATGTAATGAAGGTCAAAAATATCCACATAATGATATCTAACTTTAAATCAATTACAAATAAGAGTTAAACTATTATGACTCAGAAACTATGAGAGGAAAAGGGAAAAAAGAAACTACTAAGCTGAACTGTTATACTAAATATGAACCCAAATGAACTTATAATGTAATATGTATCAATATTTAAATTAAAAAATGTTACAATAAATAAACAAATAAATTGTATAGGACATAAGAACCTAAAAAATATGAAGAACATTAAATTAATTCAAGAAAAACCAAACCAAGTGTTTTGGGGGTGGAAAGAAGTATAATATAAGAAGGAATTAGGAAAATAAACCAAATCAAAATTTATGAACAATATACATTATTATTGACTTCTAAAATGACTAAAATACTTACTATAAAGATATAGCAACGGAATAAGTCAAACATAAAACTTTAATCTGGGACTATTAATGCTAAACATGGACTGCCTATAAATGAAATATAAACTGGTACAAAGACACATAGAAAGAAAATTGTCATCTCTTTTATTATAATTATTAAAAAACAGAATGCCCCTCAAAATTCAAGAGAAAAAGAAAAAAAACATCTGGTATGTCCACTCAAACGACTTTCCTACCTATTTCAGAACAGTTTTTATATCTTTACATATCTTCATGAAGAAACAAAAAAAAAATTGAACTAGATTTATTTTCCTGAAAATTGATCAAAGAAAAGATTTGAGTACGATTTATTTGATAAACTAAAGCAAAGTAAACCGGCTTAAGGTAGATCAGCATAAAAATTTCAATACTCTCTAATATTGCTGATCAAAAACTTTTTGCCATAGCTTAGTATTGTAAAGAAGAGGAAATAGTGAAGCTTGTGTGATGCGGGCAATAGATTTTCTTACTTTCACTTAGTCATCTTTTTTCTCTCATTCAACCCTTTCTGACACCAGAATATGAACCTGTAATCGTACATTGGAAATTGAATAGCTGTAACTTCATTAATAGTTGTCCAAAATGAATGATTTTTATATAGTTTCGTAAGGAATTTTCATTTTCGGACTCTGAAACGTATAGATCCGTCGAAAACCGCATATCGGAAATTTGACCCAGCAAGAGTGCAAATTTGAGTGCAATACTTTCCTTACCTAGTATAGGTAGGAAAGTAAAAACATCAATGTCAATATATCAACACAAATTATTACAAGTTAAAACATGTGTAAAAAATAGAATAAACGGTATCATCACTAATACTGGTTCGATTCCGATGATTTTTATTTTGTTTTGTTGGTAATTTAATTACCTTTCAAAAGTTTTATTACAAATTTTACCGTATAATATATACTTAAGGAGTTAGGCCCCATAACATTTTTCTTTTCTTTATAACTTTTTTTCCTGAATTTTCTCGGGAATTTAGTCCATATACGAACATTGAAAGAACAATTATTAGAACATTATAGGAAAGTTTCATCAAAATCGTTAGAGCCATTTTCGCACTAGAGTCTATAGAAAAATATGTTTTTCATTTATTGCCCACAAGCTATTGCGCATGGAGCACCGAATTTCTGTCACAGGCATCAGCAGTCAAAACCCTACAAAATAAAAAAAGAAGCAACAAAATCGGTTCAGTAGTTCCCGAGAAAATCTTGGCACAGACAGACAGACAAACCAATGGCTAAAAATGTGTTTTTCGGATTCAGGGGGCTCTGAAACGAAAAGATCCGCCGAAAACGGCATATCGGAAATTTGACCCGATTGCAATACTTTCCTTACTTAGTATAGGTAGGAAAGTAAAAACATCAATGTCAATATATCAACACAAATTATTACAGCTCATTAATTATTTAATAGAGAAAAGCAATCAAACTAAGATAGCTCCAGAAAATGACAGCTTTTTATGTTTATTCCACAAATAACTAACTATATAATTCAAACAAGATTTAGGCAATTATAAACATCAAAATAAAAACTACAGAACAATCCTGTATGGTTTAGAGAGAGAAGAAATATAGTTGTCATCATTGTTTAAATGATTATATAATTTTAATGATACTAGGTAGATGAATAAAAATATAATCTTAATGTTCATATTCTTTACCTTAATAACTTCGACTATATCCAATAATATTTCAATATAACTATTGACAGAATCTGTGAATTCTTTAAAGTCTCGCTGTTCAGCACATATCTAAAATGGAAATAAAACCACTAATTATATATATATATATATGAGGGAGAGACACTCAATGAATTAGAAAAAAGAGAAATTTCAAATGGATAGATTTTATATTAGAATAAAAACCATTCTTTACTTTTTAATTTAATTGTTTGAAGACAACTAAATGTTTTTCACCTTAACAAAATTAAATATTCACAACTCTAAGTTATCTTATTGACCCCTTTCAAACCTTCCTTTGATATGAACTAGCATGAGTATTAAACCATTTTTTTTATGAATGTCCAAAACATTTTATCATGAGGCCGCGATGGCCGAGTGTATAGAGACATTTCCCACTTTAACATTCTTGTGTCATGCATTGCCAGTTCGAATCCAGTCTGGGAGGGTCGATATTTATTTCGTGGCAGACCCATGGAATGAATTTCGACCTTCCCACCCAGGTTAGAATAGGTTTGGTTATACCTCTAAAACAAGCTCCCTTCCCCCATTAAGTCATTAGAAATGAGAAGGATAAAAGAAAATTGGATTCAAATCAATAACACTTAACTCAAATTTAACATTCTATTCAGACTTATGAGGTGTTGTAACTAATTTATTTGAGAGCATGATGCCAGGTATTAAAAGAACTGTCACTTGCAACTATGGTTAGGGATTGAATTGTGCTTTAAAAATACTTTGGAAATTTCCTGATGGGGTCAAATAACTGCAGCAGAGATAAAATACTTGCACAGCGTAAGCTCTACAACACACGGGGATAGGATCAGCAATGAAACCATAAGAGAAGAATTAAATATTCCTTCAATGAAGAAGACCTTGGAAAAGAGACAGTTGAGATCCTACGGGCATGTGTACAGAATATTTCCAAGCTGGGACAAGCGAAAGAGGTGGGATGACCTAGCTAGATAACGTGTGCGACTTGATCTTCGAGCTAATGTCATTCTTGGGGTACCAATTATGATAAATGAAATTCAATTCATTAGCATTAGGGATGTTAAAAGTTTGACAATTATCCATATTTCCATATAGGCCTATCCATATAGAAAATCCATAATACAGTGCAGTGCTGTAGATTTTGCAGAGGTCACTTTGATTGGCCTATCGCAAGGCCAAAACTAGTAAATGATCTTGTATTTTAGGTTTACAATAATATTAATAAACAATGAAAAATCGACTATTTTTTAGCTGCAAGAATACAAAAACTTGATTTGGTCAGGAGTGACCAAAACTAAAAGCTTGGCTATTTATAAACTGGCAATGGTCAGCTGAAAATTTATGTTAATTAATTAACAGTGAGCAGAATTTCAAACGCAATCATACTTTCCTTAAAAATTGCAACTTCATGAAAAAGTTTCACAATAATTCCTTAACAATCCTCCCTCGTAAAACTTTCCGCCCTATACAAAATAATATTGTGCAGCACTCATTCGCTATTTTGGGAAAATATTTTATATACCTCAAAGAAAGGGATGGTGGAGCAAGCATTCACTAGTAAGTGAATTATAATACTTCTTAAGGACCCATAACAAAAAAGTCTAATGTTTTCTTATTATTGTGAAAGTAGAAGAAGCCTGCTCATAACTGACACACAACTAGTGATTTACTCTAGCTTGAATGTAAAGAAAAGCAAAGGATTTTTTTAAAAGTAGTTTATTTGTTTTCCAAAATTTTAATGAAAATATCTAAAATACAAATCTCTTATTTTTTTTTTATGGTTAAAAGAGTTGATTGATGCAAAGTTATCAAGAATTGTTATACTGAGCATTGGACAATTACTCAATGCAAAGCCATAGAAATAATAGAAGCTAAGGTTTTGTAATAAAATCCACAGAAGATTAAATCCATAAGTGATAAATTTATTACATACAAACACTTCTAGAGCATGTAGCAACTCTTCCACTTTATATTCGGCCTCGGTAAAACTTACATCTAAAGAACAGAGTTGTCCTGGATTTTCCTGTAATAATGATAATAAAATAAATTAATGAAAAAACATTCATTTCTATAAAAACAATGAAATATAATTAATACAACTTACAGAAACTGTTTCCTTAGCATTGGTAATTTCTTTATGTATCTTTGTTAAAGCTTCTATCAAATGTTTTGTTTCAACTTCAAATTTAACCATCTAAAACACAAAAATATAAAAATATGTATATGAAAGTAAACATACACACACAAATATATAAAGAACAAGAACTAGATGCTCATTGATCAAAAATCACATGAAACATGATGAAATTGACAATAGTCTAATTTAAAATAGGTGATGAATCATTATGCCCGTAAAGCATCTCTATGGATAAAAAATTGATGTTCATCTTTTGCCTGAGCTTTACCAAATAGAAGGATGAGCTAGATAGGACTCTAAAAAAGACTTGGTCCCAGAAAACCTGCTTAATTTTATAACAGCAAAAGAGAAAAAGAATGTACTGATAAGAAGCACCAAAAGCCACAAGCTAGAACTGACAGTGGTGTTATTGTTGTTGAAGTAGTAAAAAAGAATGAGTTGGTTTTTAGGGAGGAGGAATATCTCCATATATATGCTTAGGATTGGTATGTTTAATGTGAGATTTCTCCTTTTACAAAAACATAAATTTATTTTTATGAAATAAATTAAATAAGTTGTTAAATGTGCAGTTCAATGAAAAGCGAGATATTCCATTCCAGTTTCATTGGAATGGAGCTGAAAATTTGCTATGGATGTAGAAGAAAATTATTTAAGTATGCAAATATTTAGATGACAAATCTTGAAAATTGAAATATTTGGTCCTTTTTCAATTGACAAATTTGAAAACTCAAACTCTCTAATGTTACCGGTGAGAGTTAGATTCAACCCCAGTGTTTTTGATCTCCAATCACTATGCAAGAGATTGAGCCGACAAGGAGCAGTGCTACCTTAACATGTGTTGGAACATTTGCAGTTACCAGGTGAGTGATCTTTAGCTAGCTAATTTAAGTTTCCTTGAGAGCTCTTTCATTCCAGGTTGCTTCTGAGTTAAGCAACCCTCATTCGAGTCTTTATGAGTTAAGGGAAGACAAGGAAACAATCTGGGCTCATCACCCTTTTTGTTCAAGATTTTCACAAACCCCTTCTTTAATGGTGATTACCCACTTGTCTAGATGTAAATGTAATGCACCAGGCATAATAATAAATCAACAGTATTTTCACTTATTATTATTGATACTGTTCTTCATAATAATACAGAAACAGAACTTTCAAAACTTAAACATAGCAATCCACAATACTGTTTTCACATTTCTGAACTTGGAAAGTTCGTTTCACAGACGTCTAAACCTTGCCATAAGATGAAATTACATGTTAACAAAGCAAATATTTAATAAATATCAAGTGTGTACATATGAAACCAAAAATGTGTGTACATATGAAACTGCTGGGTACTGCCCCCTTTCATGCCATTGTATCTAATATTAATATAATATAATTCACTGATTGTTTACTATTTGTGATAGAAGTGATTAAAATTAAAAGTTAAAAAAAAAACTACAAATTTTTCAATCATACAATTTCAAGACTATAACCAAAGCTCTCTGGTTTGTTAACAACATTGCTTTAAATAAAGGCCAACAGTTAAGGGCCACATATGAACAAATTACTAAAGATTTCACAATAACTTACACGGACAAACCAACTCATTGATTCAAGGCATGGCCAAAATCAACATCCCACATGACACCCATAGGAGGCTCACAAGAAGCAGGATGAGGGATGTCCTCCATTATTTACAAACATTAAAATCAAGATAAGAAGGGGTACCTCTGGGCACTCCTCTCCCTCACACCTACCAATGTCTCATCCCATATTCTACTTCTGACGATACACTCTCTAGTTGTCAGTATTTCTGACAGTTGTGAATATAACAGTTTAAAAAGTTAACACATTTTACACTATAATTAAAACTGATTTAGGTACCTTATTTTTATTGCTCATAATATCTGAAGATAATGCAGAAAATTTGTCTTTGATATTCAACAGACCTTCTTCAAGTTCATGCGACTTTTCAATTACATTATCAGAACTATTTTCATTGGTCAACTGTAAAATACAAAAACAAACAACAAATAATATTGTAAAAGGAAATTAAAAATGTTTTCTATAACTGGATAAAAATTAAACCCAACAAAGATACTATTACAAGAATATTTAAAGCAGGACTCTCTAACCTGTTTGTAGACCACAAGCCAACAATGGCTTGCTAATACAGTAAAATACTAAAACAGTTAATTTAGATTATATTAAATTACACCATAACAACTTCCTGAATATATTGTTCATAGTCACAATAAATGAAGCACAGAGAAAAACTTTTAAACATATTAGAGTGAATTTGAGATTTTTTTTAACTTGGACAACTATATGCTATCTTATTTACTTCAATTAGGTTGCAGGAAAAAATAATTTATATTTATACCACAAGAAGAAAGGACTAAAAATACCTTACCCCTTGTCATGATATTTCAGCCTGCTCTCCACCCATCTTCAGGTTCATTATTGATTATTGAGGAGTTAATTTATCTTTTTTACTGTTATTATTTTGAGTCTGAATAAAAATTACATAATAGCTCCACAATAATTAATAATGAACATGAAGATGGTTCGAGATCCAGGCAAAACATCGCGATAGCTGTACAAATAAAAAAAGAGTAGTGAAGTTATATAGCCTAAATGATATAAATTACAATTCTGTCTTCATCTGAAAATCAAAAAGTTTGACTAAAACTAATGTGTACCATGTAGTGCTGTAGGTTTTCTTTAAATATCTCAAAACATATTGTAAAAAAAATTGACTACTATAAAGGTATAAAACTGCAGGCACTTCTTGGCACTTTTTTTTGCTGACAAATTTCAGATGTTATTCAATCAATTAGATGCACTTGGTCATATTCTATGTGTATCAAACAAGTGGGAATAATTCACATTCAACACAAGTAAAACTGAGATAATTAACTAAGGTAGGTAATTATATGTGTATGTGGTTGTAATGCGGTAGTCCTTGGTATTGAGACTAGGTGGAGAAGACTGTGAGGCCCATAGACCCAAAACTTTTTGTGACCCCTTTTCTAAATTACCATTCCTACATAGCTTTAGACCACTTAATAGATGAATTGTTTAATAAAATTTTGGAAGATTTTCAAGAGTCTAAAATACAAATTAGAAACAACTAAAAAATTATAAGAATATCAGCACGAAAAAAACTGGTTGGAACCCATTTCAGAGCTCTTGCTAAATGAATGATTTGATGAAATTTGAAAGCTTTTTGCGAAACTGTTCAAAATATACCAAAACTTCAATGATGAGCAGCATGCAAAATACTGGTTTGTATTTGTCTTAGAGCATTTCCTAGGTAATTAATTTAATAAAATCTAACAAAATTCTGGAAGCTTTTCCTGAAATTGACAAGGGGAGGGTTACAGACATGGGGTCACCGATTTTAAAGAAACTAGTAATACTATGTCAAAAATATTTGATCTATGTCCGAGGAGGGTTCTTGGTAATGCGCCCTAGGTGACTAGAAAAAAATAATTTTATTAATTTGTTATATTACTGTTTTCTGACTTTGCCCTACATGGATTTTTAATTATTATACATAATTCAATTTTTTTATTTTATGGAAAATAAGAAAATCATATTGCTAATTCTATTAAACAAATTCTAATGTATAATAAATTACGAAAAGCCAAAGATGCTTCCAGTAAAGTAGGCAAAGTAAATTTTTGTCATGAAAAAACATTTAGATTCATTTTTAGAGTCCTCTTAAACATGAGTTTGTTTTGAAATAAAAACATATAAATTTTTTAATCAATTTTATGGGAGGATTGGTTTCCATGCTGTTTACTAAAGTATTCATACCTCCTCAGGATTTTCTCTTAAGTCAATTTTAATACAACCATTAAAAAGATAAATTATTACTCTTCAAAATAATATCAATAAAGTTTAGATTTCATGTCTTTATAAGGAATAAAGAAAAACTATCCAAATATTTTTGTTATCTTCAAACCTAATATATTTGCGTGTTCCTGGATTGTGCCATTTCGTGTATATAATAGAGCCCTAAATTCATGCAAATTTTCGTGAGGTTAAGATAATAGATGGATTTTATAAGGGCTATTAATAGAAGGCAGAATATTGAGCAAAAATTTAACATTTTTGATTGCAATAAAAATTCTTAATTAAGGATTCTGAGAGGTGCGGAAAATGAATAACACTAGGCCTTCTATTACACTAATTAAGTTATTATATCAATAACATGGAATAGTAGGCTCCAATATAGCTTAATGCTTTTCAATTTTAATTACTTGCCATATCCTCTACAGTTTACAAAGCTAAAGTGATTTTTTTCTAAATAAAAGTTCATTTTTGTCGCGTTTTAACAGTTCTTCTGTTGTTTTTTTTTCTCAAGTCTTCCATATTTACAAAATAAATTGTATGAAGTATGTGTAGTTTTTCGCTAGTTGCTTTTAGTTGATAAGATGACTCAAGGGACCATATACGTGTATAAACATATTCACATATTATTAAAAAAAAAGGGGAAGACAAGTAACAACAAGGTTCACGAACTTTTCTTAGATACTTTATGAACCACAAAGTCTTTAAATAAGTAAAGTTTTTTTTATTGTTCGATTGCACCGCAGCCTAATTAGGTATAATGCTCAGAAACTAGCTGTATGACCAGTAGTTAACCGATTTAGTATATGAAGGTTTGGCAAAGACTAAAGGGCCGTGTGCTAAAAAGCTTGTTTATGAGACAACCCTCAAAAGATCGTATTGTTTATCAGGTGGAAAGTGGGAATAGGGAACAGACCTTCTACATTGATAGGGCAGGGCCAGGGATAAATTAGAGAGTGGATGAGGAAGAAAAACCAGATATATTTCTATATCATAAAGATAAAATAATATTCATTAAATACATTTTTAAACTTTTGTATCACAAAACCTCAGTCAGGTTAGTTTGGGTTTCCTCCTCCACAAGCTTTCATCATTTGAAGTCCTGTTTAACTAACAGTTTTAGAAATAAAAGTTCTAGCACCGACAACATAAATATAACATAGCAACTGCATTACATCTCAGATTTGTTCATAAGTTTTTGAGGAATGTCAACATGCTCCAAACTTGCACTACGATATGTCACCTATTTACACATTATTAACTTTTGGTATAAAACTATTCATGGTAAGAAAAAAGTCCATAACAATCTCTTTCATTATAATGATCTTCTTTTTATCTGCCCTCTTTTTTGTATTTTGAACATGTGAACTCTCCTACTTTTTTGAAGAGAAATGTTCTTTTACTTGCTCTTTTTCACTTGCTCAAAGAACTCTCAGTAAGCAAACATATATTTTGGTTTGGTTCTATTAATCTATGATCATTTAAAAGAACCTTCTTAGGGGAAAATGTTTTCATGAGAAAGGAACCGTTTCATCAGATTACCAAAATAACAGATATAATGCAAAGTTGTAAATACTTAAAACATTCTTTTTATCTAAGATATTTTCTTCATGGAAATTTTAGAGATCTTTGTTTAGTAGCAGTTCATATTTAACTAAAATGTTTAAGGCAGCTTCTCTACAGGAAGAAAATATGGAAATAAATACCTGATATAATAATAATAATACTTTATTTATTCTCGGACGAGTCCCTTTAGAATAATACAGAAAGAGATAAATGTGGGGAGCTAAGGAACCTCAGAGATCCATAAACAAAAATAAAAAATAATTAAATAGTCATAATAAAAAGAAATAAAAACAATTATAAATTACTTTCTAACTTTAATCAGTCAATAATAAGAAACAAAAAATTGAAAAACATGAAGTAAAAATGATTAACAACGATTTAATAATTTATATACATATTTACAGTAATATCTATTTACAATTTTATGGAGACTGGATGGATAAGAAATGATTGAACAGACAGGCTTTAAAGATATGGAGGGTATTAGATTGACGGATGTAGAAAGGGATGGAGTTCCATAGGGATGAGGATCGGATAGTGAACAGATCGTTAAATCGGTTCAGTGGGCCCTAATGTATAAATCTGAAGACCGGAAACGAGTATTGCGGGAACGAACAGAGGATTTCAATTGAAGGAGCTCGGAGATGTATGAAGTGTGGTGGGACTGAATGCCTTGAAAGAGGAAGGACGCCAGGAAATACTTACGACGATAGGAAGGATAAAGCCACTTCAACTCTGCATAAAAACTGAAAACAGAGAACTCCCTTGGGATCCTGAAGATGAATCATATAAAGCAATTTATCAAACGTTTTAGTTTTGCCTCGAGGTCCCCAGAGACGCCCCCATACATTGTATAACAATAGTCAAAGTGGGAACATATTAAGGAAGTGACTATGAGCCAACGGGTTTCAAGGAGGAGTAATTAAGACGTTTAAAGGTGGAAAAGGAACGGCGGGAGATATTGGATACATGGTTTTTCCAGGAAAGCGTTTGATCAAAGGTTTTTGACAGTGGAGTAAAATTTAATGGAATTAACATGTAGGAAAAGAGTTGGAATATGAGGAACAGTTTTAAGGAGGTAATTGGAGCCTATTAAGATTGCCTTCGTCTTTTCCGCATTCAACTTCAATCTGTTAGCTGTCACCCAGTCACAAATCCCATTCAAGTCTTCTTGAAGTTTTCTGTGGCTGATAATGAGTCGGAGGGCAGGAAGGACAGGTATGTTTGGAAATCATCTGCATAGATATGGTATTGGGAGTGATGGATCATAAGGGGAAGGTCATTAATGTAAATAGCAAACAGAGTATGAGATAGAGAGGAACATTGAGGGACACCATAGGAGAGGGGGAGGGTTTTAGATGGAGGTTGACCTGGGACAACTACATCCTGGAACCGATTCGAAAGGAAGGATGTAAACCAACGCAGAGCAATGTTGGATAGAGGAAGATTGTGCAATTTAGTAAGGAGAATGTTATGGTCATCAATGTCAAACGCTTTGGAAAAATATAGAAGGATGAGGATAGTAAGGTTTTGGTGTTCGATGGAGTTCTGGAGGTCATAGGTTATTTTAAGGAGAGCGGATTACGTTGAGTTACCAGGTCGAAAGCCAGATTGGAATGGGAATATAGTGTTAAGAATTAACATTAATTGATATAGTTTGAGTTAATAGTAACAAAACTGTTTTATGGTATAGATCAGTATGACAAAGAATATTTAAGGCCACTGTTGTAAAAACTAATTGAGTTGTAATACTCTTATGAATCAACATTTTTACTGATGCTTACCAAAGATGAAGAACCTTGACTAAGGTGCCTTGTTCGAAGAGAATGATTCAAATATTTCAAATTCTGTATTAAATCTTGTTTTTCCACCAACTGAGGTATGAAAAAATAAATTATAAAATATTATTTTATAACATACATTTAATAAGATATATGATTAAATAAGAAATAAAAATATGTAACAATATATTAAACCTGAAATAAATTAATTTATGAATCAATTCAAGGATTCTTGTCATCCATAAATTTCATATTGGGTAAAAATTAAAGGGAGTTAACTTAAAAATTATATTCCAAATAAAACTAACAATAAACAGAAGATAAAATAAACATAGCTTTTAATTTTCTTGTGAGTATCAACATTATTATCAGCAATTTCTAAATCAATGGTTACTGATACCTAAAGAACGAATAAAGACTCATACATTAAACGACCGCCAAAAAAATCTGCATTATGAAGTTGGTACTGCACTTCATTGCCAAAATAGGAGCAGTTCTTTTTTCCTAAAAGCATTTCTTCCTTCCCAGCCTGTTCTTCAGATCTATCATCTATCGAATACTATTTTTAGACGTCTGGGCCTCTTTTAAAAAACTAAAAATCGTATTGATCGAAATTTGTAAGAAAATGAGTTTTCAGAATTTGTTAATAAGAACAATTCAACAATCTATTCAGAGGGAGTGGAAAATTTATCTACATGTTGGCAGAAATATATTGTATTATGATTAATAAAAATAGTTTAGTATCATTTATTGTATTTGTTTTATTTTAGATCATAAACCTGCATTTATTTCTAAACAACACAATAATTTGAATTGAATAGAATTTGGCTGAATGCTGAAATAGAATTTTCAAGAAATTTAGCAGATATTACTTCCCATAATGCCTAGAACAGCACCAATGCTGCGAGAAGACTAATGGCGGAAGTCAAAAGAGTCAAGTCAAGAGGTGTTAAAAAAAAAACAGGCAAATTTTAATAAACCTTATGTTAAATTTAAACTAAACCTAATGGGTAATTTTAGAGAAGTAGATGTAAAAAGTGGCATGAAGCAGGAGACAACAGGACTTGGCTCCTCTCTAGTAAAAAGTTAACTTTAACATCAAACTTCCTCACCTGTAAATCCTTATTTGAAACAACTTTTCGAAGACTGTCAATTTCTTCGCTAGCTTCCTGAAAATTGACTATAATAATTAACAAGTTTGAGTTCTAAAAAATTAAAACAGAAAAAAAAGAGGAACATTACCTACTTCAACATACTTGCTAGATGAAAGGGCCATCTTTAGATTGTCTATTTCATCAAATTGTTTTTGAATCTGAAATGAAAATATATAAAGTTTAAAGACTAACAATAAAAAATAAAAAAAACTTTTATTTCTTTCTTATTATTTTTTGTACTTATCAATGATCAGTAAGCCAATAGTCATGATTTAGCTATTAGAAGATGTTTACAAATCACTCATTCGCACAAAAATTTGTTACCTGTTTTTCTTTGGCCAAAATGATAGCAAATAATTTTCTAGTTTCTTTTCTGAGACCTTCAGATGAACTATTATAAGAAGATAATCCTTCTTCAAAGTTCTTAATGTTCTGAATAAGTTTTTGTGAAAATTCGTACTACAAGAAAAAGACTTATAATAAAATACATTAATACTCAATTTTTCAATATATGGCAAGTGTATAACTTATTTGGTAAATATTTACATTAACACAATAGTAAAAATAACAACCTGTTGGTTTTTCAATGCAGCAAGTTTTTTCGTAAAATTCTCTTTTTCATCACCAAGGGCTTTAATTAAAGAAACCACACCATATTGGTTATTTTCAAAGGCTATCGATTTCTCCTATAAATATTAAATTTATAAGAACAATTTTATGAAAACTCAAATACAAGAAAAATAAATTAACAAAACAAGACATACTTTATCAATTGTTTCAAAATTAATTTTTAACTTCTCAAGGCCTTGGATAATTGACAGAGAATCGTTTATTGCTGTTGTAAGTTTTTTTTTTACTCCAACATCACCACCTTCCTATTAGAATAAAACAATAATTTAAATATCACCATCAATAAATACCTGTATTAATACCTTATCATCACTAAATAATAATAGTAATAAGCATATTTCTCAATCCTCAGTGCTTCTTTTTCTTTGATCATAATTCAATGAATAAGATCAGCTAAACTTGAGGTAGTGATAGTGGCTGAATTAGTGCGATTATTACTTGCATCTCATAGTATTGAGCTTATTATTTGATATTGAGCTTTAAATTAGACATTCCTTTAGTCAGCTTCTCATTATTAATCCAAATGCATTGTTTTTCAAGATAAGGTTCTGTAAAACAGTTAACAGGCCCTCTCTTGTTCAATAGATTTTTATTAATACTCACCAATACTATCAGAATACATCATCATTACAGAGCAGAAATATGATTATGTGTGACTATATACAACATAATGCTTGATATTTAATAGAAACTTCTACTACATACTTTAAATCTGTATTAGTATTAAAAACAATTAATTAGATCATGTAATCGTATCTTACCAAAATAAAATCTGCTTCACTCGAATCAGAAATCAAACAAGATTTAGACAGACAGTCAGAGATTTCCAAAACATTCACTTTTAGACATTCCAAATTATAATTTAAAGAATTCACCTGAAAAACAATCTCATTAACTAAATGATAATTATTCACCAAAAGTTTTTTATTAAATGAAGAAATTTTATTTTATCAAAGAATACTGCTTAAAATAATAAAAATTAATTAAGAAATTATGTGATGAATATTTTTTTATTTTGTTTTGTTAAACTTATCTCAGTTCTGAAGATGAAAACTTAAACCTACATAATGTCATACTAATTATTAAAGTCATTCTCATTGGTTCCAAGCATCTGATTAATTCCATTCCTTACTATCCTGTACTCTACTTCAATGGGCTACCTATCCATTTCCACACTTCCGTTGAAAATCTTGGGGTAATGTTTGATCAATATCTGTCTTGGAATAATCATATTTCCCAAATAATCTGAAAATCCATTGCTACCCTCAAACAGTTCCTAAGATTCCTTGATTCCATGCCCCTTAAAATCCGTCAGCTCATAGTTTCCTCAGTGTATTCCTTTTCCGAACCTTTTCAACCAAAAAACTCTCTTAACTTCTCGATTAGTTCACTCCTTGTTGCTCTGTCCATTCGTTCAACACCAGATCCCAGCCCTTAAACCTGTTTATTCCTTCGCGTAGAACTGTTTCCTTTAAAATATCCTTTGTCATATGTGCTACCTTGTTTTGGAATTCCCTACCAACCTCCATATGCAAATCCTCATCCATGACTTCATTTATTTTTCCATCTCATCAGCAATCAATCTTCCGAATATATGTAAAAATAATGTTTACGTTTGAGAATGGTCTAGAGCTGGTGAAAGATGCTGATTTGAAGCGGGAATACCTGCAGCTCTCTCATATATTCTAGCATCTCCCATTACTTATTTAGTTTTATAGGTCGAAATTATCGCTGAAGATTGGAAATCTGACAGATGTCGCCCAGGAATGACATGTCTTACGTTTTAGGAAAGAAACACATATTCCTGCACAACATGATCATAGTCCTGTAATTCTGAAGCCTACCAGATTTAGTTTTTTAAAAATTGGGTAAGGAGTGCCAAAAATTGGAAAAATGATGTCGATAACTGCCCCATATGGATATTTTTCCATTTTTCTATATCACTATAAAAAAATAAATGAAAAACTGTTGTTTCACATATGTATGTCTTAACAGAACAAAAATTGTTGAATCAAGTACCCACACAATTGAAAAACGGACAAACACAGTTTAAAGTTTCCTTAAGGATGGCAAAAACTGAAGGTCTTAGTCTATTTTAGTTATCTTAAAAAAGATATTTTTGTTTGCTTTTATTTCTATCAACCAGATAGTAGTAATATTAATTTATTTATTAGCATCCAAGTTAAATCAGTAAAATTAAATCAAAAGGAAAATGAAACTTGATAAAGTATAAACTGAAACATTTCAAGGTAGGGATAAGTTAGGGGTTTTACGTCGATAAATTGTTGGATTATTAAGCCCCTAATACATTTCAAAATTTCTTTGGCAAAATGATTCTTCGATGTTTATCTTTCAATGAAAAATTACATTTATAATTGAAGGGAGGAAATGCAATAGCCTTAAAAAAAAAATTATAATTAAAGTTTCAGGTTGAATAAAATTAAAGGAATATGGCATATTAAAAAAAAATATTTTCTATGACATGATCATCTGCGATTGTGTAGAATTAAAATCACATTTATGATACCTTGTAACTAGTGATATCTATATTCCTGTAATCTGAATTTTACTGAAGTAACTTAGACCCTTTTGCATTTTCATGCTTTAATTATTTAAGGAATATTTGATAAATTGAGAATAATGCTTATTATTTACTATATGGCATAGGATGGTGAGATTGTACAACATTGTACAACAGTCACTGGTACTCCAGGTTAAGGAAAATGTACACTACACTGACACTCGTACTTGTACAATTACTATAACACACCACTAGCGGATCCAGGATTTAATTTTGGGGGGGCTTCAGCCCGAAAGCTGTTTTTTCATAAAAATAACGATAATTACTTTGGAAAAAAAGAAAGAAACTAACTACCTGTATGAAATGGTGTCTAAGTGATTCCTAAAATCCTTTTAAATGTAATTGCACAAACATTAATACTTTAAGAGATACTTTTTTAATATTTTTTACGATAAACCATGGCTATATTTTACCATTTTGGGAGGGGAGAGGGGGCTTCAGCCCGAAAGCTCCCCCCGTAGATCCGCCAGTGTAACACACTATACTTACTCCCACAATACAGACCAAATTCAATAGCAGTACTCATCCTGGGCTAACTAACCTACATAACTGTACCCAATGGGGGAGAGTGTCAAAACGCTCTAGGGATGCAAAGATAGAATTAATAGAGTTGAATTGTTTTTATAGAACTCGGCATGGGAAAAACTATTTTTTATTTTTTTTACTTGCAGCATGAAACCTCTGAGTCCTGAAGGGAAAGGAGTGCAAGCTTGTGGAGGAAAACAAAAAGGCGGTACTAGATTAAGAGATCAAGAGAAAGACAAAGCACATCCTGAGAAGAGTGTCAAACAGGTATTGGTAAAGCATAGTGTAACTTAGAGCAGGAGAAGAGAGCTGGCCCAGGAATGGTAATCTGACACTTCAGAGCAGTAAAGAATATGATTATGTGTCATGAAATTAAACTAATGCCTTTATTATGTAACTTATTTGTTATTAGATTACATAATATTTACACATATTAGATTACATAATATTTACACAATCTGTCAGTAAAACTTTGAAAAAAAAAAAGAAGAACCTAGGTTAGTTTTGGATGAGAATGACATCATGATTCAAATTCTGAAAAAAATTATACCAATTGAAATACATTAAAAGAAATAAAATATATCAGTAAAAATTTCACCTAATCAAAGTTTAGAAAAGACAAGAAATGTTTTTAATACTTTTAGATTATTAAGTAATAAATGATTACCTTACACTCTTCAACATTTTCAATTTGTCCAATTATATCACCAATCTTTTTCTTGGAACTTTCAAATGATTGTAATACTTCATTCAGATCAACTAATAAGTTATCGCCATTATCCTTAAATAATTGATAAATATTAATCAATGCTAAATTGAACAGAATGATAAACTAAAATTACATTTTTTTAAATTTCCAAACATTTATTTTTATATTACAAAATGCTTTTTATTTTTTTTGTAAGTTCTCACTTGTTATATGACTAGATAATGAGCGATCAGAGATGTAAATTATCTTTGTTTAATTGTTATTTGTAGATAACTTGATAATGAGCTTATCAGCTCGAAACGTCGTTGAAAGTAAAATAAAAATTTTAAAAAAAAAGCATAAGGGCTTATATATTCCTTGAAGATACCATATATAAGAACATTGAGTTGGCTGAAACATTTAAGAGATAATCTAGGCACACACAGACCAACAGCCAAAAATGGGTTTCGTATGACTCAGGAGGCTTTGAAATGTAAAGATCCAAAGAAACCAGCACATCAAAAATTTAAATTGATCACAAAACTTTCATTACCTATTAGCGGTAGGAAAATAATTTTTTTTTTTTGAAATGGTATAGGCATGCTTTTTTGCTCTTTTTCACTTCTATTTTTACTCGTTTTGTCAGCGGCAATGTTCTATCTGAATTTGGACATAATTTATATAAAATCAGAGGAATAGTAATTTTTCATGTAACACATTTGTAAACTTCAATTATAACTATGTAAAATAGTGGGTAGAAAAAATGATAATTTTGTTTTCAATGAGAAAAACAACAATTCAAATTTTCAAACTCAAATTAAGGTTAGACCAATCACAACCTTGTCAAACCGATTAGTCATTATTAGGTATGAAGCTTCACCAATTTTGTTTATTGGATAGATTTTTGTAGTAATAATAATAAAAGGCTTAGCGAACCCGAAGGTTCGATGCCGACACCACCAATCGCTTATTACACACCTCCCTCCACCGTTCGCCGTCCAAACCCAGTCCCTTCAGATCAGCTCCAATGCAATCTTCCCACCTTCGCTTCGGTCTACCCCTCGTACGGTAGTAATAATATATATTTATATGAAAAAACTTTTCCCTAATATCACTTATAATTCAAATGTAATTGGGAGGGGGAGAGGAAAGGTTAATACCATAAAACAGATATTACAGTCTCCTATGATTCAGCATTATAAATGCTCTTACCAGACCTAAGGAAGAATGGATCTTTACAAATGAGGTGTTAAAACAAAGGGAATTTCATAGAAAAGCAATAAACTCAATTTCGATCATTAAGTAAGTCCTTACTATATTTATTTATTTACTTACTACATTTATACTAAAAGTGATAACATTTTTTTATAGGTTTCAAAACTCTGATTGCGACAAGTTGATCTGGTATGAGACTGTTCATATGGAATGTGCTGGCCCTATAGTTTTTAAAGTCCTGAAATTTAGCATTTTAATGATAATGCATGACATAGAATATGTAACCTGTCATGAATTTACATAATACTAAATAAATCACAAAAAAAAATAAAATAAAATAATACTTTTGTATAATCTTGAAACTTGTTCCACAACAGGAAAACTTTTTTTCGTGTTTCTTCAAAATTATTTATTAAGTCATTAACAACTTGGACATATTCTCTACATTCTTGAAATGATTCCTGAATTAAGTAAACAGGATATTAGAAAAAAAAAACAAAAGAAAAAAAAATTAAAAAACAAGAAGGGATTGTTACCAGTGAATGCTGTGATTGTAAACTTGGTTGTTTGTTGGTAATAGCTACAGCAGTGTCCGACTTAGCTTTGGAAATTGATCTCTGTAATAAAAGTAATGTTAAACTCGATCACCAATACATTCTCATTAAGTAATTGTAATTGTATTGTAATTTAGTTTTCATTCATAAATCAATACCTTATAACAAAAATTAAAAATGTATACATATAAAAAAAAAAAATCATATAAGTATATAATATTTTTATTCAATACATTAACACAGAGTTCAAAACAATATCACTTGAAGTAAATCAAGAGTAGACATCCATATCACATGAAGAATTAGAACAGTAACAATAAAGATTTAAAAAGTTATGGCTCAAAATAAATGTTTCAGAATAAAACCTTTATATCTTCAGTATGTCAAACTTATTGAATAAATACCTGTGAACAATAAACCTTTAGTTTTACAAATCACAAAGATTAATAGTAACATAGATTTTCAGATTAATCATAACATAAAGATAGAATAAGTAACATTTTATTGAGCAATAAATAAAATAACCAAGATGGTCAAGATGTTTAATAGTCAGTAACAAAAAATCTATGACAATTTTGATTTCAATTTCCTAGACTATTTCTTTATTTAAGTTAATGACTCTCTTTTTTTTTAAATTTTTTTCTAAGCCGTAACCTCTTGAGAACCAATTAGCCTTGATGTTAGGGTAGTGTAAGTGATACTCACTTTTTGACCAAATAAAATGAATTAATATGGTTATTTGGGTTTTCCAAAGGTCGCAGACAAATATCTACTCAATATTTTGCCTATCAAGTGGTCAACTCATGGGATACCACCAACTCTTTATAACCAATTAATTTAAGTTATAAGACCCACAGACCCACTACTTAAGGTTGATTGGGAAACGAACGGTTGATTGGAATTGCTAATAGAGCTTGGAGTTTCCCAACAAGCTCTATTGGCAATTCCTATATACTGTTCCTTAGATAATAACCATATTTTCTTTCATAGCTAATGTCATAGTTTCAGATTTCTGAAACTATCTTCTGAACAGTACGTTCACAGAAAGAGCAACTTATTCTAATTGCTGCTTCGAATTAAATGTTTCAGCAACAGAAAACTTAAGTTTCTAAAAATGATGTAATATTAAAAAATATCAATATTTAAAGTTTTAGAGTAATGTTATTTAACTGAATGGCTATAAAAAACCAAGAGGCAAGAGAAGGTAACTGTTTGCAAATGTATTTAATAAAATCTAAGCATTAAAGTGATTTCAAACTTAATTGGATTTGAAAAACAAATAAAGTGAAACATGGGATTGCAATTCCCAAAATAACAAAACTGGTAATTTTTATAAATCAACCCGTCAGATTGTACTCTTCTATAAAAATTTTTCATGAAGGGTGAGGGTTTTTTCCTTTAATTGAATATAATGTTAAATTTTATGTTAATTAAATGTTAAATAGAAACTAATTTCAGCATAATAAATGGAACAATAAGATCTTAATGCTTAACGCCAACCCTTATGACATAATTTTACTGGCTTTGAAACACTTAGCAATTTGCTCCAATAATAACAAGATGAAATTAACTTACATGAAGGCTATTATCAGGAAGAGAATGAGAACGATGACTAATAACAATTACAGAAGTTCCTTCATCTAGGCTAAGATTCCTTCTCGTTTGTCTGTTCCATTCAACATCCTCTCTTAGTTCACTCAACAAAGCTTGGAGGCCACACTGTTAAATTAAAAACATGAGACTGTCATTGGTAATACATAAGAAAAGGTCTTGCTCAAAGAATAATCACAACTATTATTATTAAGAAACTTAATTTTAAAATTAGTTGGTTTTTCCTAAATGGATATAAAAAAGTTTTAATTTCTTATAAGATGGATTGTTTATAATCATTATAACTAAAATTTGAGAAAGATTTACCTTCATGCTCAATTCTTCATCTCCTTTCAAATTTTCTAAATACCTTCTAACATAATCCATTTTATTACACATAGCCAAAAGTGAACCTTCAGCATTATTGAGCCTAGACCTCAAAGAAATAACTGCAGGAAGATTACACTCTGCTAAACGTTCCTCCAAAGACAGAACATGAGTCCTCATTTCTTCCAGTTGAAGGGTTAAATGATCTATTCGGCATTTCATAGCAGCCCTTGGAGTTCCCTTTAAACCCAACATTTCAGCCAAGGATTCCTAAACAGTAGGATTATTGTTTTCATATTAAGTAAATCACTTCACTGGTTCAGGAAATAATTTTATATATATATACCAGGTGTGTAAATATGAAACCAGAATTTTTGTATAGAAAATACAAGTTTATTGCATAAAGAATATTTTATTTGAAATGCTGTCCATTGCTAGCTATACATTTTTTTTATCTCTCTGGAAATTTACGAATGCCGTGCCAGGAAAAATTTTACTCTTTTGTGACCTGTAATTGAGCCATTTTGGTTCATTATAATTAGCATTGAAGTGCTAATGAGGAAGTGCGTGTCCCATCGATACAAATAATTAGTAATCAGACAGAGCTAAGTCTGGTGAGTAAGCTAAATGCGCTAATGTTTCCCAACTTAAATGCTTCAATCATTTCATTCATGGTTTAACTGTGTGTCATGGTGCATTGTCGTGAAGGAAAATCGCTTCGTGTTCTCTTTTTTATATTCTAGTTGTTCGACACAGAACACTTGATTATAATTGATCATTTGTTGTCGATAGTGTTCTATACTAACACTTCTGTCAGGTTTTAGCAATCCATAATCACAAGCACCAAACACAGAGCATTGTCTTCTTTCCATAGTGACTTAGGCTTGAAATTGATGATGGGTTACCCATGATCTTTGATTATCAGGATTCTCAATATATATCACCATTTAATAGAGAAAAGTTATTTCAGAAAACTAGAAAACCACCTCCAAAAGGCTGCTTGCCAGCTAAAAAAGAAAGTCATTCTTTTGTAATTGGAAAGCAGCATTATAGAGGTGGTTTTCCGATTTTCTTGCTTTCTTTCAGTCTATATTTACAATATTGATAAAAATCCAATATTTGCTAATCAATGTGTTTTATTCTTATGCATAAATTGATATATTTTAAAAGTATTTAAGTGGGTCTACTTTTCAAAAAGTTCTTCGATTTAATCTGAATTTGCCAATGTGAAGTCTAAGGGACATAATTTTAGCAGAGACGGTTTGGAATGTACCGATATGATACTGTATTACTGATACAGACTGATAACAAGTACTTTGAAATTTGACATACTAAAAGTACTTTCAGTTCCATCCTGGATCAGCCAATAGCCTAGTTTCATTTCTCTTCCAGTCCCAGTTTACACTGCACCTTCCTCTTTTAGCTCCAGCATTGAACTGCTATAACAACCTCTTATGAGGCAAGGCGATAACCTACTTACTTGGGTATTAATTTCCATTGTTTCTAGCTCTACCAGACATATTTTAGCTTTCCTCTCATTTAATCTTTTTTCCTTACTCAGCCATACACCCAGTATACTTCAAAGTAACCTTTTCCGTTAATTTCTATTACTTTATCCCTTTTATTAAATGTAAATTTTATAAAAGGCTTTATATAAGAACAAATAAACAAAATTGGGAAAAACAATTTAGAAAATCGTGTTTCTTTCTACATACATAAGATGATAACATAGTTAAAATATATTTACTAAACATTTTAACTTTCAACCACTGGAAGTTTTGGCACTTTGAGAATATATGCTAATTTTTTTTATTTGCCTCGTTATCCAAATTTATCCTGAAGTAAGTGTTTAATAAGAAATCAACAATATTCTTTACTTTTTTTTACTGATTTATATGATCTAATTTTTTTGAGCAATATGAAACTTTTAGCTTACATACATCCTGAGATAAAGTTCATAGAATATTGAGATTTTTACTAAAAAAATTGAAAAGTTCCAATTTTCTTTCGGTTATTGCTTTTTAGCAAATAAATAATGAATGTTACGACAAAGTTTGGCATAATAATGTTTTTAGTAGAAGTAAATGACTAAATGTCAAGAAAAAACTGGTTCTGTCAAGTTGTAGTGATATTGAAATACAAAGTTTTGAAAAATTTTACGAAATAATAAAATAGTCCTGATCAAGTTTTCATTCTACATAATACATTTTCAAAACTTCTATTAATCATATTTATTATAATATATGCCCTAATGTCTTTTAAGGGAACTATATGGCGGTAAGAGGGTTAAATACTGCTAACAATGATTTACTAAAAGAACAGTGTATAGAAAGATTAGAGGAGTCATTCATACTCTAGTGCAGTAAGAGTTAGTCCAAGAGCCCGTGCAAAAAAGTCTGGTGCGCTCAACATACAACTTTTAGTTACCGCTCTGCTTTGAATAAAAATTATTTTATGGCAATGATGGGCTATTATGAAATGTTTGAAGTGCAGTTTAAAAGGAGCTAAAGCTTAAAGCTTACATATAACAAAAAATTAAGACCATTAAAATTACAAAAAGTCTATATCGATGGTAGGCAATAAAAATCTAGTTTCTAAACTTCTTTTATAAACCACATAATTTCGGTCTCTGAGCCTTTTAGTTGACAGAATGACTAACTCTGATTTCAAAATTTTTGAGTAATGTCATTTTAGTGATATTTCTAGTTGGAAAAGTTGTATCTATACAGATAGTGAATAAGTAGATTCCAAAGTAGATGAGAGCAGTGTTGAAACAAAAACTGTGAAACATCACTAAAATCAATAATAAAGAATGTCAATCGAAAGGCTCATATTTGCCAAGAGACATTTGAAAGTACATCTGAATATGAATGATTATACTTAGTCTATGAATGATTATGGATCGTAGGACTATTAATTATTTTCCATTGTAAAGTTTACTAAAATGAAATTACGAGACTTTCATTGCCTACCATGGATAGGTCAAAAGTTGTCACACTAATTGTAAGTGGATAATGTTAGGATTTCACAGAGGGAAAATTCATCAAATTATTAACTAATTTAATTTTCTAAAAGTTTACTGGATGGTTTTTTGGAAAAACGGCCAATAGATACCTAATTATTTAAATATAATATCATATCTAGAG